CACAGGGGTTACTCCTCGTTCATGCGCTCAGGAATTACTCCTGGCAGTGCTTGGGGGACCATATGGGATGCTGGGAATCAAACCCGGGTCGCCCGTGTGCAAGGCAAACGCCCTACCCGCTGTGCTATTGCTCCAGCTCCACATCCAGTGATTTTAGATGACCTGGTTATTCTTTGCAGGTTTTGTTGAATTCATAAATTTATATCTTATACAACATTTGGATCTTATACAAAACCCATATCTTCTACAATATATCTGGTAAACCATATTTGGTAAAATTGGGATCATTATTTCTTAGAATTTGTTTTTAATCTCTTTCTGAGATAGTATCTTTTTACTCTTTTTACTTTTTACTCTCTCTTTTTACTCTCTTTATTCCATATATATAGAAGATATATGATTATTTTATTCTAGATACATAGTTATCCCTCCCTCCCCACCCCCAGTACAAGCACACTGATATTCCTGTCTTTCCATTCCTTGCATGCGTATTTTCTGTCGGTGTGGGGTGTAGTGTTGTGGTGGTTGTATTACTCCATGACTGATAATTCCGGTGTCTGAGTGATCCTGAGTAAGTCTGCTGTAGTGGTCATTTCTCTTGCCTACAGACCACAGATTCTTATTCTTGGGTGGTGCAGCATGAAATTATCCCTGATACATTGTGCTGGTTGCATTGTGTACTCTTTGGTTTTTGTTTGTTTGTTTGGCCATTTGGGATGACATTCAGGGACTTCTCCTGGCTCTCCCCTCAGGAATCACTCCTGGTGGTACTTGGGGACCACATGGGAAGCTGATGATTGAACCCAGGTCAGCTGCACGTGTGGCAAGCGCCTTACCCACTGTATTGTCTTCCAGGCTATGTATTGTAGGCTTTTGACTCTGCTTCTCCAGAGTGTGTTTTTTGTTTGGCTGTTAAACAAACTCCAGGCTGTGTCTTCGCATACAAGGGGTGGCAGTTGAATTTTGTTCTGGTCTCCCACCCTTCGCTGGTCTGATCAGAGCCTGCATTAGGTATATGTCAATATATGGTTCCATGGTCTCTCACCCTTAGCTGGTCTGTTCTGAGCCTGCATTAGGTATATGTTAATATATGGTTCACTGGGGCTAGAGTGATAGCACAGCAGTAGGGCGTTTGCCTTACATGCGGCTGACCTGGCCGACCCGAGTTCGAGTCCTCCGCCCCCTCAGAGAGCCTGGCAAGCTACTGAGAGTATCCCGCCCACACAGCAGAGCTTGGCAAGCTCCCCATGGCGTATTCGATATGCCAAACACAGTAACAACAAGTCTCACCATGGAGACGTTACTGGTGCCCGCTCGAGCAAATTGATGAACAACGGGAGGACAGGGCTATGGTTCATTGAATATTTTGAAAGTGATAACCCACAAAATCTTGAAACTGCCTTTCTCTGACTGTTTATTCTTAGGAATTTGAAAGGAAATTCCTAAGAATAAATAGCCAGGGACTAGAGCAGACAGTACAGTGGGGAGGGTGTTTGCCTTGCACACAGCCAACCCAGGTTCGATTCCCAGCATCCCATATGGTCCCCTGAGCACCGCCAGGAGTAATTCCTGAGTGCAGAGCCAGGAGTAATCCCTGCACATTGCTGGGTGTGACCCAAAAAGCCAAATAAATAAATAAGTAGGCAGAGATGGGTGCTTCAAGATATTGTGAGTTATCACTTTCAAAATTCAAGCATCTGTGAACTGTTCCTTCTGCCTGTAGACTTTCAATTGTGTTGCTTTTTTATTTCAGTTGTTTTCTCAGGAGGATTATTCTGTTAAGGGTTGGTTAGTTCTGGGGCTGGAGCCATAGCACAGCAGGAAGGACATTTGCCTTGTACAAGGTTGACCCGGGTTCGATCCCTGGCACCCCTGGCATCCCTGGTCCCTCAGAGCCCTGCCAGGAGTGATCCTTGAGCTCAGAACCAGGAGTAATCCCTGATCACTGCCAGGTGTGGCCCAGAAGCCAAAAAGAAAAGAGTTGGTTCATACCTGCGAAGATCCTGGATTTGTGGTATAGTTGAATGTGAAGTGACCATTAAGTGTTGAATTAGATGCCAGGGCATGAGTGCAAAAATGCAGTAGTGATGATCTTATTTATTTATATTTTTGAGTTGAGCAATGTCAAAGGTGATTTTGTACTTAACTTTTGTGATAAATAAAGTAGACCCAAGGAAGAACATGTTTGACCATGATGGAGAGGATGGGATGCGAAAATATCTAGGAGGTATCACTTTTGAATCAGGAACTCAGAGGGAGAAGTGAGCCCCTGAGATGCAGGTGTGGGCTTCGAGAACAGTATCTGAAACTGTGGGTTTGCTTAAGAAAACTATTATGAAACTCATACTATAGAAAAGGGGGTTTCCGGGCTCCATGCTCGAGGCATTTCTAAATCTAGCGGAGGATTCGAAGAACTACCAAAAGAAAAGGAGGAGGAAGAGCAGGCAGAGCAAGACTTGTAGAGTACAGATCGCAGAGGTCAGAGAAGAAATATTTAGCAAAGGCAGGAGGGGTCCACTAAGTTGGATGGTTGCTAGATGGTTGCTAGACCCTCTCTTGGGTAAGGCAGAGGCCATCAGTGACTTTCCAGAACATTCCACGTAGAGAGCATGTAACTGTGGACCCCATGGCTTGCCTTGGAGGTTCGAGTCATTTAGGCTACATGTGCCACGTGAGCTTTGTAACCTCCCAGGCACAACCACCCTACGTGATCCGTGCGTGTTTAGCCGAGTCAAGGATGCGTCCCTTCTGCTGTTGGGAGAACTTCACCTCAGGTCACCTGGACGGTCTAATGGTTGGGACCGGAGGCAGCATTCTCTATGCAGGTCCTGCGAAGGGAAAGACCATTCCAAGTTAATTGACATGTCTCTTTAACATGTCTTTAGCCTTATTGATTGTAGGAAGTGAATTCCGAATTGCGTCCACAGATACTGTAAGTCGTGGCTTTGCAAACGAATTTCCTTTTCTGTTGTTCGAGTTGTCATTTATGAAGTATAGGGATCTTGCTGAGTCCAGAGAGAGAGAGAGAGACAGAGAGAGACAGACAGACAGACAGACAGGCAGGCAGGCAGGCAGGCAGACAGGCAGGCAGGCAGAGGAGAGAGAAGAGAGATGTCCTTTCTGTGCTGTCAGATTCTGACAGTTTATGGGAAACTTCCGCAGAGGTAGGTCCCCTGGAACAGAGACGTACATTTCGCACTTTTGGCTTTCAAGGATAATCTTTCCACCACAGTTTATTATTGCTGGAGTGTGTTGCTGTGTTAGGGCAGGAACTTTGGCCTTTGGTTCGCTAACAGTTCACCTGCTTTATCTTAATATTCTAGAATAATCTGGCCATGATCTTTGGACGTGTCTGAAACAAGGCACAGAAGAAATCAATTAACGGTCCGAGTAGCCTTCCCAGTTGAGTTCATGCTTCGTACACACGTGTCCCCAGGGTTCTCTCTCCTGCACCACAGAGGAAAGAGAGCCAGTAAACCAAGCCAGGATCATTTGTTTATTTGCCGAGTCCACGTTTGGTTTGAGTGCATGGCTTCTGCTGCTGTGCGGATCCCACACGCGTATCTGACGTGTTGTTTGAACCGTTGAGGCTTGCTCTCCTGCGCTACCGCGGGATGGCGAGGCCAGGCTCTGGAGTGATTCTTCATTAAAGCACCATTTTCCTTCTGGGTGTGGGGTCAGTGGATGTGTGGGGTCACTTCCTCCAGTCTGCTCCACTTCACGTCAGGTTTTAGTCTCTCTTCCAGGAAGACTGAATTCCAAGCCTGGGCTGTCACAAACTTGAGAGTTGCCGTCACCCCAGTGTCGCACCGATGCTAGTTCAGTGCAGTTGAGATGCTCCCACTGAGAGCTGAGAGGGTGGGTCGGCTCCCCTCAGAAGGGCCTCAGTATTTCACGTTCCTTCTCTAACAACCAGGCTCTTTCTGAGAAATTTCTAGCGCGTGTGCTGGGCCCGATTTTAAAACTCTCAAACCCAGACTCTGAAGTGAAAACTGTTAGTCTTCATTTCTGCTCATCTAATCTGTGAGTTTTTCTAGCCCCATTTTTTTTTTTTGTCACAGCAGACTAAAGAGCACTTAGTTGCTCAGTTAATATGAACGCCAGTGTGACAAGTGGATTCCTGTTAGAAAAAGCCCCCCACCACCCCTCCAAATAAGTATGGTAGTAATTTTTTATCACATTGAAGAGCTTTGATAAGTATGTCTCCAGTCGGTCCCATATCTCATCTGTGTTTTCATAACCTGTTGGTTCAAAAGTATTTCTGCAGATAAATAAAAACGCTGTAGTTCTGTGATCCAGAAGCTTCTGTTATCAGGTCAGAGAGTTTGGATTCGTTTCCACATAAGGCAAATCTTTCTAAAACATATTATGTTACTTGTCCTGTCTTTATGTGGGTCAAGTTACCTTCTTCAGCAACATTAACTGTTTGAAGTAAACTTTCTGTTCATGCTTTTATAATGCAGATGAAGTTCCAACTTGAAAAACCAGTCTGTTTTTCCATGAAGTAATGTCTTTCCAAAATACTTGGTTGACTTTTAAAAAAAATCTCCTTGCAAGAATCCTGGCCATATTTCCCCCCACCCCTGTGAGTTTTGTAACACTGTTATTGAGTAGAACAATCCTCACCATCATTCTTGGAACTGAATTACAGCCAAATTTGAATTATTTGTGCTTTGGAGAGGAGAATTGGCAAAGGTAAATGGTCATGGCTGGTATATTGTAAGATAATTGTAGCCATGGCAATGTTTGTTTCCTAATATTATGTTTCTAAATTTAAGTGATGAGCTTCATCATAGGAAAAAGTCCATCTGTATATTCAAGTTGAATTTAAATCATTCCAACTTCATTATTACAACATTAGAAGTCGTTGCTTCCTGTTGAATTCAGCCAATTCAGTAATTTGCTTGATCTTGTGTGGAAGTGGTTTTTGCTTGAGCCAGTAACATCTTCTAAAATGTTTCTAGGAACACACCTAACTCTGATGATTTTTCAAAATCTAGATAAAAGAATATGAAAAGCTTGACAATGAGGAAGATCGCCTTTGTAGAAGCCGAAAAATTTATGATACTTATATCATGAAAGAGTTGCTGTCTTGTTCTCATGTAAGTATTTTTGTACTGTTATTTTAATATGCATGAGTTTGAGACAACATTCAGTGTTTCCAGGGTGAATGTGAAATAGGAGGAGGATGTTTACCGTCCTTGTCTAGGATGATACCCATTTCTTGTGTTTTGTCATTTGTTTCCTTATAATGCTGATCCAAAATTTGATGCCTGCGGTGGTATATTTCCAAAAGCAGAAGAATGAAGTAACTGATTCAGATCAGTGGAAAGGCTAGTTTCAATTCTAGAGTTTCTAAAGGAAATTAGTCTTTATTATTTTAAATTCAGCTATACTTTAACAATTAAGCTAATCAAATATTGATAAATATAAATCCTAAGTGGTTTATTTGACTTCGTAAGGAAGATTATCATTAGTGCCTAATTTTTTCAATTGTTAAGTAATTTTTGAAATAACTTTTCCTCTCATAAATGAGACACACAATCCAATTTTGTCGTTACAATAAACTAGATTCCTCGGAAGTTATTCTACCAGGAATGAGTGGAATAACTAGTAATAAAACTTTATCATGTAATATTTCTGCATTAAGATTGTTTTCCAAAACAGTGGGCTAAAAAATCCTGGTCCGCTTTGGATAGTGTGATAACCACTAGGGAGTTTAGCAATTTAAATTCAGTTTTAATTTAAATCAACTAGAATTTGAAATTTAATTCCTCACTTTATTTTAATTTTATTTTTTAAATTTTTATTAGTGAGACACCATGAGGTACAGTTGTAGACTTAAAAATTTTCATGCTTGGGCTTCAATTATACAGTGATCAAATACCCATCCCTCCACCAGTGCCCATTGCCCACCACCACGGATCCCAGTATCCCTCCCACCCCCCATCCCCCTCAGCCCACCCTTCCTCTGTGGCTAATTTCTTACTTCTTGAGGGAAAATTCCCAAATTTCTTTGCTCCCCTCAAGGAAAAAAAGAATCATTCGACACCTGTCCCCAGAAATCCTCTTTCTTCAGCGAACAGAGTTCTATCCAAGACTGCTACACCACACCCTCCCTCTGTCCTTGTCTAGGATGATACCCATTTCTTGTGTTTTGTCATTTGTTTCCTTATAATGCTGATCCAAAATTTGATGCCTGCGGTGGTATATTTCCAAAAGCAGTCGTTCCAATACCCTTCTATTCCCTGGACTGGGTGGGATTGCCCACATTGGAAAATATCTCTGTTGAGACATTTTTCGAGCACTTGGTAGTCACGTGTGTTAACGGCTCTGGGGTCTGCCAGCTCCATAGACATCTTCTTTCACACAGAAAGTTCAGTTGAGCATCACTGGTTGTGAGCATGGTGGTAGCAAAATGTCCGAGCCTGAGCTAAATTTTTTTTAAGTTTATTTATTTATTTATTTAGACTTTTTGGGTCACACCTGGCGATGCGCAGGGGTTACTCCTGGATTTGCACTCTGGCGGTGCTCAGGGGACCATATGGGATGCTAGGGATCGAACCCGGGTCAGCTGCATGCAAGGCAAATGCCCTCCCCACTGTACTATCACTCCAGCACCCCCCCCACCCCGAGCTAATTGTTGATGCATTGTCTTGCTACCTTGCTGGAGAATGGTTGAAGCTTAGCAAATGCCAGATGTTTAATGGGAAATCCACTGTCCCCTTGGGATTTCTATAGCTCGGTAACTTTCCGAGAGTTTTAGCAATATGCTGTGCTTCTTAAGTTTAATACTTACTGTACATTTATTAAAGAAGACAACATTTGAAGTTTTTGGGAAGGATAGAGTTTGTAGTTCTCATGGGTGTTAGTTCCATTCTCTTACAACCGGTTTCCCTCTGCTGTGACTGAAATAAGACTTTCCCTAACCTGCAGCCTTTATCTTTACAAATATCCATCAGATTTTTAAAAAATTTTTAAATGTTTTTGGCTTTTTGGGTCACACCCAGTGATGCACAGGGGTTACTCCTGGTTCTGCACTAAGGAATCACTCCCAGAGGTGCTGAGGGGACCGTATGGAGTTTTGGGGATCAAACCCACGTCGGCCACATGCAAGGCAAATGCCCTACCCACAGTGCTATAGGTTCTGCCATACCCATCGATATTTAAAGCCTGCATAAATTATTATCACCATAGAATATACAGCTGACTAATTGTGTTAAATTGTATGCTATGATATTATACACAGAAGCTTGTTACATTTTCTATATGAAAAAATACTGTCCTTTTTTATTTTTAAAAGCAATTTTCAAAGCAAGCTGTAGAACACGTACAAATCCACCTATCCAAGAAAGAAGTGACATCAACTCTTTTTCAGGTAAGATAAAGCAATTTCACAATAGATTATTTAATTTAATAAACCTTGGACTGAGACATTCTCTTTGCACGTTTACTTTTTGGTGTGTAAGGCTGTTCTCTCCTGGAAGTGTATCTGGGGTGATGGTACTTCTCATTGAAATGTGCCCTTTTGTCAACTTCCTTAGTAGATAGAGATTTCCCCCCCCTCAAAAAAAGTCACCAACACATTCTAATAATATTTTCTATGAGTCAATCTTGAAAAGATGTTTAGGGGAGAGAAGAACCTTTTACCCATTTGCCATTCTGGGTACCTGTGATAAGTAAGGACATTCTAAAGTTAATTTTTCAGTGATAGAGATGTTGATACCTATGGCAGTTATTCTCCAGAAGAAGAGATTGATTCATTGTCAAGAAGCAGGAGTCGAATGATGAGGGGCTGGAGCGATAGCACAGTGAGTAGGGCGTTTGCCTTGCATGTGGCCCGGGTTTGATTCCCAGCACCCCATGTGCTCCCCCGAACACCTTCAGGAGTAATTCCTGAGTACAGAGCCAGGAGTAACCTCTGTGCATCACCAGGTGTGACCCCAAGAGCACTGTAGCACTGCACTGCACTGTCCTCCCATTTTTCATCAATTTGCTCGAGCAGGCCAAGTAACGTCTCCATCATGAGACTTGTTGTTACTGTGTTTGGCATATTGAATATGTCACGGGGAGCTTGCCAGGCTTTGCTGTGTGGGTGAGATACTCTTGGTAGCTTGCCGGGCTCTCCGAGAGGGGCAGAAGGATCAGACTCAGGTTGGCCAGGTTGACCCCATGCAAGGGGACCCAAAAAGCAAAAAAAAAAAAAAAAATAGAGTTAAATGATGAGACCAGAGAAATAGTTCAATGGAATAAGTGCACGTTACATGCGTGAGGCCTGGCGTAGATTCCTGGCACCACATTGTCCCCCCCAAGTACTGTAGAAGTAATCCCTGAGCACAGGGCTGGGAGCAGTTCTTGAACACCACCAGGTATGGCCACAAAACAAGACCAAAAAAAACAAAAGATGCAGGAGTAAATGTTGCAACAACCTTGGAGTCTCACTGAGGAACTGGATTTTAATTTGGCCTCTCATGTCTTGACTAGACCACAGTCCCAGAGACTTGCAATAAAACTTGGGAAACTAAACAATCAATGGCCCGTTCTGTTTGCTGCTCTTAGATGAATGGTTTCTTCTCCTGAAGCCTTTTCCATCCCAAGAGCTTTCAGCATGCAAGAACATGTTCAAAGTTTCCAGTGGATAATGCACTTTTTGTGTCTAAGAATTTCTTAAAAAATTAAGAAAGAATGCAGCACGTTAATGAATATAGTGACTTTCATAAGCCCGGAGGGTTACTTTATTCTTTTATTAGTCATTTATAGATTCTTTTTTTTTTTTTTTGCTTTGGTGGCTTATGATGGGAACCACTTACTTCTGCAAAAGGAATCTGATTATTCTGTAGAGCAGTTACTAAATTTGGCTCTTAAAACATTCATATGTAGTAACAAATTTTATATTAGCCTTTTGCTAAAATAACGAGATGGACTTATCTTAAAATGTGAGAACTGTCTGTGCAAGTCTTGTTGGTCATAGTCCCATGGGCTCTGAATTCATTTACTGGTTTAGGTCCCGAGGAATCACTGGAGACTTTGGGCCAACACTGTGCCTTTCCCTCTGTTGTTTTCTCTTCTGTGAGGGAAGATGTCTGGGGGCTCTTCCTCTCATAAGGATTCAGTGAGAAAATGTGCTCTTAACTGCATTGCCTGTCGAGTGTGCTGAAATGTTAGCTCTTAGGAGGTATTTTACATTCAAGCTGTGCAGTGCGGGGGTCTGGGATGGGTCCCAGTGGTGCAGCACTGACTCAGCCTTGTGAAACGCTGGTTCCTGTGTGAGGCCCTGGTTCCGGTTCCTGGCTCTGCTGATCCTTATCTTGCGATTCTTATCACTACTGTCAGAACCACAGCATGAGTAGTGAAATAGCAGCTTTGAGTTGTTTTCGTTCTACTTCCGTATCAGAATTTGGATTTCGACGAACCCTAACTTGGTTCATAGACTGTCTTCTAGTCAAACTGCATTCAAGATTGATAAGCAATATCTCATAATATGTGGGTTTTAGAATCTTCATTTTTGGCTTTTCCTGTAATGTGAATAATATGGAAAAAAATCTCCAGGTAATATACAGAGTGCATCAGGATTATTTTCAGACCTTCAAGGATATTCATTTAGAAGCTTCATGAGTTTATCTTTTTAAAATGCTTGAACAGTTTGTTCATTTAAAAATGGAATAAAAATAAATGTAAAATACATGCAGAGTGGGCAGTGTTCTTATTTAAAGATAAGGAAATAAATTCTGGAGAGTTCGAGTTAGTAATTTAATGAATTTAAATTAAGGTTTATTATTAAGTTGAAGTAAGGGGTTTCTCAGTCACAATTCAGTGTAACATATACCATCAGAATAACATAGCTATAATCGAGGTGCATTAGCTAGCTACAGAAATTGATTGAAGCTCTTGGAATTGTAATTTTGGTGGAGGGCTAATTAACAAATAAGACTTGCATATAATTTAAGGTATACAGGATGATATTTGGATATGTGCCATCACTTAGGAAATGATTAATGCAATCAGCGAGTTGACATATAGATCACCTCATATAGCTATAATACTGTGGCAGTGCTCAGGGGACTGTGTGGTGTCCAGGATTGAACATTCAGCGTCTTCATGCAAAGCATGTACTGAAACCCTTTGATCTGTCTCCTCTGCCCTTTCTTCCTTTTCTTTTGCTCTTTTAGTCTCAAGATTGCTTTGGATATTTGAACTCTCCTGTGCCTCTCTTGTATACATTTTAGGATTGTTCTATTTCCTCAAACACTATTAGATTGGGATTGCATTGACTCTGCTCATCGCTTTCTGTAACATGGCCATTTAAACAGCGTTCGTACTTCCATTTTGAAAACAACGTATCTCGCCAGTTCTTTGTATTCTTGTGCATTTTTCACAATGTCTCAAGACTTTCAGTGTATAGGTCTTTCACTTTTGTTAAGTTTATACCCAGGTATTTTATCTTTTGTGATGCAGTTGTAAGTGGGAGTTGTTTTCTTAATCTTTCTTTCCTATTATTCAGATTTTGCCCTTGGGAATACTATTAATTTTTTATATTGACTTAATATCTTGCCACTTTACCGTATTCATCTGTTATTATTTTAATTGTGTGTGTGTGTGTGTGCACGTGTGTGTGTGATGGTGCTTTCAGATAGTACGTAGGGGACCCAGGAGCCACTTTTGATGATTCCTGGCTAACCAGGCTGGTGGTTCAATGCTAGAGTCGAAGGATGTGCTGTTACTTAGGTCCTGTGGTATGAGAAACTACCTGGAGATCTCCAGAGTCCTGGCTGGTGGTGCTTAGGGGCCTACAGGGCTGTTCTTGGTGATGTGGCAGCAGTGATGGGACTGAGGCCTACAGCACACCAGACCCTAACCCTTGTATTATGTCTCCAGCTTTAGTGGTATCATTATAAATTTCTATGTATATTATATGTCATGGGTTGGAGCGATAGCACAGTGGGTAGGGCGTTTGCCTTGCATGCGCCAACATGGCTAACCCGAGTTCGATTCCTCCACCCCTCTCGGAGAGCCCGGCAAGCTACCGAGAGTATCTCGCCCGCACGGCAGAGCCTGGCAAGCTCCCCATGACGTATTCGATATGCCAGACACAGTAACAACAAAGTCTCCAATGGAGACGTTACTGGGCCCGCTCGAGCAAATCGATGATCAATGGGAGGGCCTTTACCTTTACCTCGAGCAAATTATATGTCATGGGCTGGAGCGATAGCACAGTGGGTAGGGCGTTTGCCTTGCATGCGCCAACATGGCTAACCCGAGTTCGATTCCTCCACCCCTCTCAGAGAGCCCGGCAAGCTACCGAGAGTATCTCGCCTGCAACGCAAAGCCTGCAAGCTACCCATGACCATATTCGATATGCCAGACACAGTAACAAGTGTCACAATAGAGATGTTACTGGGCCTGCTTGAGCAAATTGATGAACAATGGGAGGACAGTGACAGTGACAGTGATTATATGTCATATGTGAATATTGGTGGTTTCAGTCTTCTTTTCTAATTTGAACTCCTATCATCTTTCTCTTGTATAACTGCTGTGACGAGGACTTCCAAAACTCTGTTGAATAGTAGTGGTGAGTGTGGACTTTCTTGCTGAGTGCCAACATTATTGTGATGTTCGTTGTGGCTTTGTCACACAAAGCTTTTATTCTCTCGAGGTATGTTGGCTCTTGACCCAATTTATTGAGATTTTGTGTGTGTGTGTGTGTGTGTGTGTGTGTGTGTGTGTGTGTGTGTGTGTCAGTAGCTGTCGGGGGTTGAGTTTTGTCAGATGCCTTCTCAGAACCTACTGGTATGACCCTGTGATGTTTTCATTCTTTTGTTGATGGTGTGTTTTACATTAATTAATGTGCCTCAGAATACTGAGCCCATCTGGCCATGGTGAGTCATTCTCGGAATATATTGTTGGGGTTGATTTACTAAAATTTTATTGAATGCTTTTGCATCTTTGTGTACCAAAGATACTGGACAGTAAGTTTTGTTTTACTTTGTTTTGTTTTGGGATTGCCCTTGCTTTTGTATCATCCGTTTTGTTTCTGTTTTAGTTACTTCAGCTCTGATTTTATACTTCCATTTTTAAGTGGACTTAGGCCTTGTATTTTCTTATTTTTCCTAGTTCCTTCAGATGTAATTGTTTTATCTGGCACTTTCATGTTTATTGATGTGAACCAGTTTTGCTATTATCTCTGCTCTTAATACTGCTTTTTTCTGCTTTCTAAAAGATCTGATAGCTCGTCTGTTAAGTTTTATTGGTCTTGGGTGGTTTTTAAAGTAATTTCTTTGATTTATTTGTTGACCCAGTAATTATTCAGAAGCAGGTAAAGTCTCCAAACTTAATCTTCTATACCAACCAATGACGTATACCTAACTTGCTTTCACATGTGGGCTGTTGTGAATTATGCCGCAGTGAACTTGGGAGTAGAAATGTCTCTTCAAGACACTGACTTCTTTCCTGTGTACTGTAAGAAGTAGTATTGCAGAATAATACAACCATTTCATTTTTGATGCTTTGAGGAAACTCCAGACCATTTTGCTTAGAGGTTGTATCAATTTGTATCCCACAAAGAGTGATCATTGATAACACTTGTAGTTTCTTTACATTTGGATAATGGCCATCCCTGTGTACCTGGGCTATTATCTCATTGGGTTTTGATTTGCATCACCCTGGGAACTAGGATCTTGAGTACCTGTTCATATATATCTGTTCCACCATTTGTATATCTTTTTTTCAAAAGATGCCTATTCAGGGCCTTCATCCATTTTTTTCAAAACCAAGTTATTTAATAGCTCCTATTTCATTTAGTTCCTTAAATATTTTGGAAATTGGTCGCTTACAAGTTGGTCAAGGTAAGGTACATGATTTATATTTTCTTCTATTTCATCAGTTGTGTTTTCACTTTGTCCATCATTTCCTGTGGTCTAAGAACTTTTTAGTTTGATGCAGTCTCAATTGTCTAGTTTTGATTTTTTTTAAATTTTTTCCTGAGGTTTTGGTGTCAGATTAAAGAAATCATTGCCCGGGAACTTTTGTCCTCGCATTTTATTTTAGAAAGTGTACTGTTTCAGTGTACCGTTAGAGTTTAATTTCATTCCGTGTGTGGACTTGTTACCAAAGACACTATCCGTTACCCAATGTGTGTTCTTGTTAGAGATTACTTGACCATAAAGGCATGGTGAATTTACATCTAGATTACTTCAGTCCACTCCACCCTCCCCCTATAATATCCGTGCTTAGGTTTAATATTATACTGTTCTAGTGTATGGTGACTGTGTTTTGAAATTAGCAAGTATGATGCCTGATTTGAATTTCCTTTCCTTTCCTTTCCTTTCCTTTCCTTTCCTTTCCTTTCCTTTCCTTTCCTTTCCTTTTTTTTTTCCATCAGGGAATGACAAAGTAAAAGAAAAATACCTTGGAAGTAAATCACTGTCCTCCCTCCGGTTGTTCATTCATTTGCTTGAGCGGGCCCAGTAACATCTCCATTGTGAGACTTGTTGTTACTGTGTTTGGCATATCGAATACGTCACGGGGAGCTTGCCAGGCTTTGCCTTGCGGGCAAGATACTCTCGATAGCTTGCCGGGCTCTCCGAGAGGGGAGGAGGAATCGAACCCGGCTCGGCCGGGCTGGCTGCGCGCAAAGCAAACGCCCTATCGCTGTGCTATCGCTCCAACCCTGGAAGTAAATACACTCGACGTTTTCTAATTTGTTTTAACTTTTTTTCCTTTCTAAAAATTGACTTTAGAAATAAACATTGATATAGGCGCCTTTGGTGGCAAGGATCAGGAAGAGACCTGGCATACAATGTATTTGCGTGCCGGGAAACGTGCCAGCCGCGTGCGTGACTCTCAGTTTCCTCAGTCTTACTTAGCTTTTGCAGTGGTCTTGCAAATTAAATGTGGCAATCAGGGAACTGAGGGTGAGAGGGGAAGTTGTTTGTTCACGATCTCTCTGTTGCTCTCTGACTTTTGCGCTGCTGACCCAGGCAGACTCTGTAGTTCCTTTCTAATGAAGAATAGGAAATTTTATGGTGTATTTAATCTTAAAGAATTTCTGGTGACCTTGATCTTTTATGTTACTAGTCAGAGTATGAGGTGTTTGGTAAAATACGAGTCAGCATAAGAAAATCTGGGATGTACGATGGTAGCCTTTTCATAGATCTTTGAGCGCTCGACCTTTTTCATCTGTTTCTGACTTGTGAGCCTGTGAGAATGAGCTGTGGTCCTGGGTCTTCCTTTGTAGAAGAGTATCTCAGATCCATATTATATTTCATCTTGCATCAGTCGCTCAGAGCTGGAGAGAGATTTTGGTAGCTTGGTTTTCCCTTTGACTGAGGAGGACACAGCCTCCCAGCTTTGGCATTGGGACCAGGCCCTGGCAGGCCAGAGCGGGCCCTGTGGGCAGTGCTGGCCAACTCAGCCATCTCCTTTCTGCTATAGGCAGCAGGGGAGGCACCCACAAGAGCTGCGGTTGGCTGTGTCTCTTCTTCTGTCGTGTCACTGTGGCTTCTACTGAGTTCCCTTCCTTGATTTATATGGCCACGGACCTGAGCCTTCTATTTTACAGCTTTGCAGAGCAATCTGTGAAGAGACAGAAAATAGTCACTTCACATCATTCCACGAGTGTAGGGTGTTGAACAGTTTTCCAAGACTTGACTGAGTTGATTCTGAACTGTAGAAGGCTGATATTTAATATTTATATGTTCTTTATTTGAAGGGCATAATATAGAAGAGGAAAGTTTGTATCACTTGTTCGGTAATGTGTAGAACGGAATGAAATGGAAGGAGATTATTTTTTTTTGCAAGGGGGCACATCTGGTGATGCTCAGGGGTTACTGCTGGCTCTGCACTCAGGAATCTCTTGGTGGTGCTTGGGGGGGGGACCATATGGCTTGCTGGGGATCGAACCTGGGTTTGTCAGCTGCTTGCAAGGCAAACGCCCTACCCGCTGTGCTGTCTCTCTGGCCCTGAAAGGAGCTGTTTTTCCCACTGAGGATCAGAACAATGCATTAGTGGGCCAGAAGTCCTGGCTGTCATCTCCATGTAGCCTGGAACTTGTTCGAAAACTTGGGGACACACCTACTCACCACAGCACAGTCTCATTCAGTACAAAAGGAGGATTGGGAGTAATCCACCAGTGGTTACCTCTAGTCATCGTCTATTACTTTAAGAGGTAGAAAACCAATACGTCAAGTAGCTTCTCAAAAAAGTTCAGCATTTGTTTCCTTAATTTTTCATCTTTAAAACTTGGTGTTGAGGAAGCTGAAGAGATAGCACACAGCGAGGATGCTTGCCTTGCATGCAGCCAGCTTGGGTTCGATCCCTGATACTCCATTTGGGCCCCCAAGACCCCATTAGGAGTGATCCCTGGATGCAGAACCAGTAGTAAGCCCTGTGAACCATTGGGTGTGGCCAAAGACCATATTTTAAAAAAAACCAACAATTCAGTGTTGAGGCTGATAATTTACAATCATCCTCGTTACCTAATAGAGACTATAGTTATGGTTTATTGGATGTGATACGTCATTCATAGAATTGCTTCTATAACTTACCGGGCCCATTGAATAATGAATGTATGAGATTTTTCTTCCCTTTAGAAATCATTAAGAATTTCAAGACATCAATGCGACTCAGAACCCAGCACTGGGCTTTACTGGGTGTGCCCTGGCATCTGGGAGACAGGCCCACGAGCCCAACTTCTGTCCTTTAGGATGTGTTTGTAACTCACTAGGAGCTGTCCTCGGCAGCAGGGATGCAGTGGCTAGGACAGACTGGCCCTTACCCTTTTAGGAATGAGCTGTAGAGTGGGCCAGTCGCTAGCAAATGACGAATCTGTTGATGAACCGGTGGAAACTGGACAAGTTCAAGGGGCCTGAGGGTGGGGATGGGGGTCATCCTTTCCTCTGAGTCTCTTTGTTTTTCACTTTAAATTCATTCTTATTTATGCAGCGTGGAATTGTTTTTCTGTTCTTTCCAGCCATACATAGAAGAAATTTGTGAAAGTCTTCGAGGCAACATTTTTCAAAAATTTATGGAAAGGTATGAAACTTCATGTACATATACAAAAGTGTCATGTATATTGAGCTTCATCTTATCCAATTAAGTGTCGCCTCTAAAATATGTATTGGTTTCTTTGCTTGACAAGTATTTGCTTACCATGGGCTGTGTACCAGGCGTTATGGTAGACTCTCTATGCTGGTTATAATTTAGAGGATTTGCCTATGGCCATGGCTCTTGGACCTTTAGTTCTTCCATTTCAAAATGGCCTCAACTGTAAGCCAATAAGGGGATTTTGGCATGAGAACTTATTTCATTAGGACATCTTTGATAATGCAAGCGACAGCTCTATACTTTAACTAATTCGTTTGTTTGTACTTTGAAACATAAACCCTCCTCCCCACCCCCCAAGGTAGAACTAGCATGTACTTTATTTTGTTTTGCTTGTGTAGAGCTGGAGCAATGGCACAGCGGGTAGGGCGTTTGCCTTGCATGCGGCTGACCCGGGTTCAATACCTCCGTCCCTCTTGGAGAGCCCAGCAAGCTGCGGAGAGTATCCCACCTGCAGGCAAAGCCTGGCAAGCTCCCCGTTACCTATTCAATATTCCAAAAACAATAACAACAAGTCTCATAATAGAGATATTACTGGACCCACTCGAACAAATCGATGAACAACGGGAGGACAGTGCTACAGTGCTACAGTTGTTGTGAATTTTGGTGTCACACCTGGCAATGCTCAGGACTTACTCCTGGCTCTGCACTCAGGGATCACTCCTGGTGGTGCTCGGGCAACCATATTGATGCTGGGAATTGAACCCAGGTTGGGTGCATGCCAGGCAAGATACTTGTACTATCTTTCTGGCCCCTTAATTTTTAATGTGTAGAATTAAGAGTATAGGCAGACTGTTTGTGGTCCTATATACCATTAGCATACTCAAACTGTAGAGTACATATGTTACACAAAATTCTGAAAAACTTTCAGGATGCCTTTAAAAAATGTCCAGGGGACTGGAGCAATAGCACAGCGGGTAGGCATTTGCTTTGCACGCCGCTGACCCGGGTTCAATTCCCAGCATCCCAGATGGTCCCCTGAGCACCGCCAGGAGTAATTCCTGAATGCATGAGCCAGGAGTAACCCCTGTGTATCACCGGGTATGACCTAAAAAGAAAAAAAATAGAAATTAAAAAAAATTAAAAATGTTCAGCTGATGTTCCTTCAGGCACTTATCAGTCAATTCTTGAATGTATTTGGGGGCATTCCTTGGGACAGTGCATTGGGGGCACGGAGCTGGGTGGAACAGAATCTGCATTCACATGGACTGTCATTTTTGCCATAAACTTGGCTAATTTCTAGGCAATTGACATCATGATTGTGTCTCATTGACGGAGCCGTCTGCAGCTGTTCAGTAATTGCCCTTTAAGAACAAATGCTGCTTCTTTGCAGTTTTTCTGTCCACATAAGCACAGAAGCAAAGTAATTTTTAACCAAGTTGTGTGAGCTATGCAGCTACAAGAGTTCACGAGATAATTTTATCCTGAAGGAGAGTCAACAATTGAGAAATGAAGAGCCAGGCACGTGGTTACTCTTCCCCGGGGAGGGCCAAGAACTCTCCCCAAACGCAGCTGAACCAAACAGGGTTTCGGAGTGCCTGGGTGCAGACGTGGGGGCAGCCCCAGAGCTGTCGGTCTTCAACTCCGGCCTTTCCCAGCTCTCAGGTTAAGCTCGCCCTCCAGTGACCCCGAGGGCGGCAGGGAGAGTTGAGTCGAGGATGGTCGCAGCACTGAGGAAGGAGATCCCCTAATTCTTCCCAGGCGGGCTCTCCGAGGCCCCAGGTAAACCTGAGGAGGCCTTCGCGCCTGCTGAGTGAGCCATTCTCTCTCCTCCAACCACAGGAAATGCCAGTGAAAGTCTGCAGCTTAGGGAAGTGCACGCTGAACTTTCTGGAACAAGTGGCCCGTCATGTAAACGAAGTGTGCCTTAAGTCCGTTTGTTTATCTTTATGCATACTCGGTCCTTTGGCAGTTGGCACATTCTCCAGTTCGAGTCAGGAGATCTATTATTGCCAGGTCACCGGAATGGAGTTTGGGTTCTGGAAGGTGTGGCGGGCACTCTTGTCAATAGCCCCCTGGGACCTGTCGGGCCTCATAACCACCCCGCGCTGAGGGCTGGCCTGCTGAGGGCTGACACGGAGAAGGAAGTGTCCCTCCTGCCGGCGGGAGCGTCTCTCTCTGCCTCCTCCTGAGGCCACGCGAGGACACGGCAGGCAGGACTGTTTCAGGCAGGCCCTGTCCCTCCCACAGGGATGCTTTCCCTCCCGGGAAAGAGGCCCCGGAGGCTTGTTCTCAGCCGTCTAAAGTGAGTCAGGAGTCAAGCTTGAAGCAAGCGTGTGCTCCCCCACGCTCCCTGCACCCGTGCCCTCGCTCCCTCTGAGACAGTGGCCTCGGGTGCTCAGAGACTTGCCGGTCACCCTCAGGGACTCTGGCCACCTGGGGCCCGGGGAGGCCAAGCTCTGCCTCTCTGCCGAGCACGTCCTGACAGCCCCTTGTCCTAAGTGGGGACTGACCAGCAAGAATGCTTACAGAGCCCCATGAACATAGGACTGAAGGGGGCCCGGCTGCTTCCTCAGAGAATTTGTTCCCTCAGACCCCAGTTGATGAGTAGAATCTGCGTGGCTGGGGGCTTCTTTGTGGGAAGAGGTAGCATGGAGGAGCAGAGGGTGGGCTGAGGGTTTGTGCTCCTGGATTTTGGGCCTACAAAGCATTTTCCTCCCTGTGGCTCTGAGCCCTCCACAGCCAGCTTGCAAGTTGGGACCCTGTGCCACAGAATCCCAACCCATCACTCAACCCATCACTCTTTTTTTTTTTTTTTTGCTTTTTGGATCACACCTGGCAATGCAGAAGGGTTACTCCTGGCTCATGCACTCAGGAATTACTCCTGGCGGTGCTCAGGGGACCATCTGGGATGCTGGGAATCAAACCCGGGTTGGTCGCATGCACGGCAAATGCTCTACCCACTGTACTATCGCTCCAGCCCCCCATCACCGTTTCTGAAGCCCAGATGCGGTGGGACAGGGGCAAGTCAGCCCACTCGGCATTCTGACTCCATGTCCAAGGAACGGGAGTGATTTTTTTTGATATGGGCCACACTTCAGAAAACCATTTGGAAAATAGGCCCTACCTCTCAGAATGAACTTCTGTTTTTATCAGCCTCGCGGTGCTATTAGGAAGATCAATAAGACACTCTTTAAATTTAGAGTTTCGGATGAAAGATGTCACGTAATTTCAAAGTATTCATTTGCTTTTGATGTTCGATGTGATTATTCGTCTCAGAGAGAATTTTAGGAAGATTCTTAGAAGGCATATGAAATGGCCCCAACAAGGAATTGGGGCACTTGAGTGCCTTGAGGCAGTCTGGTATAAAACTGATAAATCCGGTCACTTGTACTTAACAGGGCTGGAGCGATAGCACAGCAGGTAGGGCGTTTGCCTTGCACACGGCCGACCCGGTATCGATTCCTCCGTCCCTCTGGGAGAGCCCGGCAAGCTACCGAGAGTATCCCACCTGCACGGCAGAGCCTGGCAAGCTCCCTGTGGCGTATTCAATATGCCAAAAACAGCAACAACAAGTCTCACAGTGGAGACGTTACTGGCACCGGCTCAAGCAAATCGATGAACAAGGGGAGGACAATTTTACAGTGTACTTAATAAAGAACTCCTTCCCTCCTTCCTCCCCCCACCCCGCCCCGTTTCTTTCTGTTTCATAATTCACTCATGTATTTATTCATTTATTCTAAGGACTTTTAGTGTTGTGACAACTGTAAAGAATTATGCTAAGGGCTAGATAAGATTTACCATCACCAAGAATATTATTTTTTCTTTTAAGGAGCATTCCATTTAGGACAGATTTCTTTGTGGGAGAAATTATGTCATCATGTCACAAACCTTATAGCTCATTAATTTTTTTTTTTTTAGAAAGTTATGTCTTTCTTCAATAGATAGGGGGTCAGTACTTTTCTTTATGCAAAAACCACTTGTCAAGCAGTTGAGTGAATTGTGGGGGCAAAGGTGGGCTCCCCTGAGGAAAAGGGAATTTAGCCTGAGGTGTTCTCTTCAGCCATGTTGGCTGCGTGCAAGGCAAACGCCCTACCGCTGTGGTATTGCTCCAGCCCCAGTGCTTCTATTTCAGTTAAGGGGTAAGACTGGGTCTAGGTCCGAATGGTTCCCTTCCCAGTCTCTTGTGGCCTTGGGTGAGTCTTGTTCTTCCTGTCCCCTCCCCCCTCCCCCAGGATGGGAATCTTGATAACACCCAGTCAGGGCGTAGTTGGGCGAGAGGGAGCCAGGCCTGGCACACCGCAAACACCATTTACGTGTCGGTCACCCTTACCGTTCCTCAGAAGTAGGGTTGGTCTGATTTGGCTTTGTCATTTGGGGCTCCGTTGCCCATGATGGCATTCACCACCCACCAATAACTATGGAGCACTTGAAAAATGTGAATACTGGATACCACAAGGTCCTCTCAGTGCAGATCAAAGACCCCAACAAACAAAACAGAAATAAGAATCCAGATGGTCCCCTTAAGCACCTCATGCTAACTACAAGTTGAAATGGTATCTTTTCCATATATGTTGGGTTAAGTAAAATTATGTGATTCAAGTTACAATGTGGCACATGGTATCCTTCTATGAGACAGTGTTAACTAGACAGATAGAAATATTACCATATTAATATAATTGAGAACAAACTCTGAGCGCAAACCAAGAACACAGGATTTTGGTAGTGTGTGAGTGTGAGTGTGAGTGTGTGTGTGTGTGTGTGTGTGTGTGTGTGTGTGTGTGTAAGTAGGTGGACTGGAGGTAACAGAGGCATGGTGGGGTCATGGCCACATTTGGTGTTGGCGAGATGAGGTAAGTGTACAATAACACTGTGAGTGTCAACATCATTGTAAATGCACTGCTGAAATGATAATAATAAAAATAATGTCACCGTAACACAAGACAAGTGAAGGAAAAATGTGAGGTCTCTCATTTGAATTCGAACGTAAAGCCATGAATATTGGCGAATGCTCTGTGAGGAAATGTTTTAGAAAAATACGTTGAGGGATCAGAATGAGAATACAGAGGAGGGAAGTGTGCTTGCCTTGCATGTGGTTGACCCAAGTTCAGTCCCCGGCAGCCCGTATGGTCCCTTGAGTACCACCAGGAGTAATTCCTGAGTGTATAGTCAGGAGTGAGTCCTGAGTGCCACCAGGTGTGGCCCAAAAACAAGAAAAAGAAAAGAAATATCATGTACAAGTCCAGGGATACTCATTCCATGTAAAATGAATTCTCTGCATGTAGGAGGCTCCGGGTTTGGTCCCCAACACCTAGGAAGGAAGAACCTTCCTGTGTCACAGGCGCGCACTTCCAGTTTATCTGGCAATATGTTGTAGAACCCAGGGGAGGCAGTATTTAACTTTACAATAATTATTTATACTCTCTTTCAGTGACAAGTTCACTCGATTTTGTCAGTGGAAAAATGTAGAACTAAACATCCATGTGAGTATCATCTTTTTATTTCCTTCACTCTTGCTTTAAATAAAACTCCATCTGGCTTCACTCCATGAGAAAATACTTGATTCCGCGGCATACTCCCCAGGGTAACCCACACGGCCTAAACAGATGTCTCCCTTACAGTTTTATGCATGAAACATTCATCCTCCCATACCCGGTGGTAAACAATTGAGTTGTAATTCTCTATTTTCATATTCTCTAAGAATGCGTTTGTTTAAGAAAGGATATTTTAAGAAGTCGTCGACCCTTTCACGGAAATAGTAGTAAAAATCTAAACTGCTTACTCGCTTCCTGTACTTCTTAAGCTCTTGTCTTTTGCCGTCCTGGAAAGTTCCTTTTCTTTTTCTTCTTATTGGGTGTCATCATGTAATAAAAAATGATGGCGGCCTTTACCAGACCAAGGTGTCATCTGTTTTGAAATTGCTTTGAGATGACAAAAATCCATCTCCACAAAAGAAATGCTTTCTGCCATCTATTTTCTTTGGCCAGAAACACACACACACACACACACACACACACACACACACACAGCAGTGCGCTCAGGGCTGACTCCTGATTCTTTGCTTGGGGATCATTCCTGTTAGTGCTCAGGGGACCACAGCAGGTACATGGGGATTCACTCCGGATTGACTGCAGGCAAGACAAGCACCTTACCTGCTGTATTCTCTCTCCGCTTCCTAACTTTTCTTTTATACATTATTTTAAAAAAAAAGACAAAAACTCTCTTCTCCTTCGTATCTCCCTTCCTGAAGGATTGAAGCTGGGAAAAAGGGATTTTCAGCTATTTTGTGACTTCGTTCCTCCCCCCCCAATTAACAACTGTCGTCGGGAGAAGTGGTCTGTCTGTTCTCTCGACCCTGTACCCCAACCCTTCGTCCCTGTTGCTGCCTCCTGACCTCCTCCCTTGCTGGCACATTTACTGGCAGAATCTGGAAGTCAGAGGCCATGACCTGACATTCATATATGCCTGATGGTGCGGCAGCTTTTCCTCGTGCCCGTGTCTCTTGGGCTGGACCAAGTCTCCCCTGGTCCTCCTGCCCCCCTGGGCACCACCCGTGAGCTCTGTGGGCCCCGACCCCCTCCCTGGCTGCAGTCCATGGGTGTTCAGGGTCATTGGGGGAAAGCCCATCAAGAATCGGGCCTCTCTCTTGCCAGGCTGTGGAAGCTAGCAGGCGTTTGCTCTTGCTGTCTCTCAAGGACGTAAGACTCTGCCCTGGCGCCCTCTCACGCTCTCCGGGCTCCCTCCGAAGTCGGAAGGAGGCGTAACTGCCACAGGACAGAGGCGCACGCTCACAAAGAAAGCCTCCTTTGAGGCTTTCCTCACACTCGGCCTTGCTTCACGCTCACATGCCCGGCACGCGCCCTCCCCAGTCACTGATGCTCTCGATAAAACACTCACATGGCCCGCATCTGTGGGGCTGTCTGATCCCCGGCCCTGTGTGTGGAAAACACAGCTGCCCTTGATGTAGACTTCTTCTTCCTGCCATCTGACAGTTCCGGGAATTGCTGGACTCTTCCCAAACTTGAGGCCCCGGAGTAGCTGTGGTTGCTTTCATTTTGACTGGAAATTTCACACTCACTTGTCTTCAGGGTTTCTGCCTTGTAATCAGAGATTTATGAAATGGGGAGAGAGAGAGAGAGAGAGAGAGAGAGAGAGAGAGAGAGAGAGAGAGAGAGAGAGAGAGAGAGAGAGAAAAGCAGCTGACTTTAATTCCTCCTCTGTCATCTTCCTGTTTGCCTCCTTTTTTTGTGCCTTTTGGAGATTGAGTAAGAGATTCTTAAGAAAGTCTTGGCCACCCCTTGTCTCAGTTTGAGAACATGGTGGTGGAAAGTCTAGATTTTTATTTATTTATTTATTTAACATCAGCCCGGCAAGCTGCCGAGAGTATTCGATATGCCAAACACAGTAACAACAAAGTCTCCAATGGAGACGTTACTGGGCCCGCTCAAGCAAATCGACGATCAACGGGAGGGCCTTTACCTTTACCTTTACCTTTAACATCAGAGCTGCTATTTTACCAGCTATTTGGCAGGGGGGAAAGAAATCCCTTTACCATGAGATAATTTCCATGCAAATTTATTTTCCATTTTTGTGCTTAAATTCACAGTTGACCATGAATGATTTCAGCGTTCATAGGATCATTGGCCGAGGAGGATTTGGTGAAGTATATGGTTGCAGAAAAGCAGACACTGGAAAAATGTAAGTTTCCCATGCTCCTCCGCCTTGCTGGAAGTAGTAACTGGATTTATTTTATTTTGTGTCCTGAGAAAAAAATCCCTGTTTGGTATAGCTACAATCCCTGACCTCACTTTTGAGGTAATTTATTTGAGGAAGAAATGGGACATGCTTTGTTCGACTTGGTGTCATGAGAACGGTAAGCTGAGCCCTCAGAGCGAAATGGGACTGAGACCAGTAACCTGGCCTTGCGGGTTGCCTTGGTTAATTCAGGTGAAGGGCTGGAAACCAGGGGTGGGTGGGGGAGGGAGGCGCGGAAGTGAGCAGTGGCGGGTGTGAACCTCCAGGCTCTCTTCTGAGCCCTGATTCCCCTCTGAACTCATGGGGGTTTGGGTGACACAGCATCCCAGGACATGCTGCTTCCCCACACACGGGGCTGGAGCCTGGCCAGTCTCACCCACTGCTCTGTCAGTCAAGATCAGAGTCATGGTCATGTGGCTAGTGGGTTCCCTTTCCTTGGGACAGAAAGGGGCGGTGCTGGTGTGAGGCAGTAGGTATCAGAAGCGACCAGTCTGCGGGTTTTCCCGCACAGTGTGTGGCAGGCCAGCCAGGTATAGGGATGTTTATTTTGAAGCATGGAAGCAGTTCGACCAACTGTATTTCTGCGAGCAAAAGAGAGTGGGAAAACGGGCTTCGAGGAGCCCAGATCCCCATGTCTAATTACGTGACAGGCATGTGGCAACCGTGGAGGGGGCTGGCCGTGAAGCATGGGTTCCAGAATGATGACGTCCATTGACCTGACGCAGGCCTGGGTTAGTCGCCACTTTCCTGTGTTCCCGCTCCGCCAGGACCCGGCCTGCCAAACCAGCTCCTCTGTTTGACAGCGGTTTCTTTCATCAAACACTGTGCTGGGGGCCGCCAGCCATCAAGACCGTCTGAAACATTTTTAGAAAGTCTTTGCGATGGGAACATTTAAGGAACACATCGTGTCTTAGGTCCTCAATATTTTTGCTCCCTGTAACTTTTAGCATCTTGTCAATGGATTTGTTGTAAAGAAGGCCAGTAAAAGTAGACTGAAAATTGCCTACCTGGGCATCTGTTTTGTCCTAACAAAACACCTGGCTAACACGATAAGCCCCAGATAGTTAGCTATGAAGTGACGTTTTCGTTCCCTGGCTTCCAAGGACCCCATGCTCAGAGCTTTCAGGCTCCAGAAACCCCTTGAGGCAGTTTCCTTCAGCTTTCTGTTGTCCTGTTCACCAGCCTCCTGCCTGCTCAAACCCTGATTGTCGAGTATGTCATAGAATGGCCCTGGTCCCTTCAGTGAGTCCCCAAGTATTCAGAAAATACTAAGCAATCCACTGCCTCTTCTTAGCTTACTTGACCCAGTGATAGATTTACACCTCTCACTGGGGTGGGGGTGGGGGGGTCCAAGGATGTGTGTCACGTGTCATGCAGGACCCTGGATTTGACCCCCAGCATCACATAGCTCCACAAGCCCTTCCCCAAGTGGCCCTGGTGGTCTTCAGGCACCTCCCAGAGTGACCTCCACAACCAAAGAAATAGACCAATTGGTTATTGTTTGAAATACTAATGAATGTCAACTTTAGGTAACAAGACCATGGTATTCCGGATGCGTCGTTTTACATACACGCGCTGTTTCTTCTGGTTTTGTTCATTGTGTGCATTTTGGCATCTTATGCTCTGCACCAACTACAGATTCTTTATGGGGGGCTGGAGGTTGGGGCCACATCCAGCTGTGCTCGGGGCTTACTCCTGGCTCTCTGCTCAGGGATCACTCCTGGAAGGCTCAGGGAACTATACGTGGTGCCAGGGATAGAACCTGGGTTGGCCACATGCAAGGCAGGTGCCTTACCTCTTGTACTGTCACTCCAGCCCTGACTACAAATTCTTGCCCACTCCGGATTTCCCGAATCCTTCTATATCCACTCCCTCAGCACATGCACACGTATGCATGTGTGCATGCGCGCGCGCACACACACACGCACACACACACACACACACACACACGCACACACGCACCAAGAACCAGGAAGGCAGCAGTAGTACATACAGAATTGATTTCACTGGACTTATTTCTCTCTTTTATTTAATTGGGATGTCTGTCATATAATGATAGACATATCTTAACTACTGCTTGACATTTATTTTTAAAAATACCTTTTATTTCGGGATAGTTCGAGGTTTCTGGAAAGGGTGCAGAGCTGTACAGGAGTTTCCATGGAGTTCACACCGGTATGTGGAGCCTGCATTTTATGGCATGGTAGTCGCACCCACTGAACTCATAGTGAGGTACCACTGTTAACCCCCTCCCGATTCCTGTCGCTTTTACCCAGTGGCCCTTTCTGTGCCAGGATCATGGGTTGGTGACCTTGAGCCAGCCTCTCTCCTTGGACCCCCTAGAGACGGTGACACTGCAGACCGGGCTTGTTTCTCATGGCCCGGTACCCTGGAGAATGCCGTTCATTTGGGTTTCTCTCATGACCTTCTCGTGGTTAGATTGGGGTTACCGACTCTCAGGAGAAAGAGTTGAGAGTTGGGTACCCTTCCATCCCTTTGGGGTGCCTCTTAAGTGAATCGCACGCCCCTGGTGTTGACCAGATCCCCTGGCCAGGGACCTGCTCCTCGGGCTTATCCTTGTCCCAGCCTCTGAAGGACCTGGGTACAGCCCACGCCTCGCTGTGGGGAGTCACAGCCACCTCTTGGCAGGTGGAGCTGCGCTTTTCACATGTGCACGACCAAGATTTTGTGCCTGGCACCTGGGTGTTCTTTTTCTTTTCTCTTTGTTTATTTTGGCGGCCACACCCTATGATGCTCAGGGGTTAACCCCTAGCTCCACACACAGGAATTGCTCCTGGCGGTGCTCAGGGGACCATATGGGGGGGCCGGGGATCGAACCCGGGTCAGCCGCGTACCTGCCCACGGCACTATCGCTCAGGGTTGATTTTTCTTCTTTGTAACACTGCCCCAATCCTTACACACACCCCCTCGAACTTGTTCCGTTTAAATCCCTCTCGTTATGTTCTCCGTGTTGAGAACGATGTTGTCTCATTGTTCTCCAGACGATGTCTTTGTTTGTAGGTATGCAATGAAATGCCTTGACAAGAAGAGGATCAAGATGAAGCAAGGAGAAACATTAGCCTTAAATGAAAGGATCATGCTGTCTCTTGTGAGCACAGGAGTAAGTATCAGTTCTGAGTATGGCTGTGGTGTGTGTGCGTGCGCGCGTGAACGTGCTCATTTGCACGTGCATGCGTGTGGTGTGTGGGGTGTGTGTGTGTGTGTGTGTGCGTGAACGTGCTCATTTGCACGTGCATGCGTGTGGTGTGTGGGGTGTGTGTGTGTGTGTGTGATATCAGTGCAGCTTGTTTCTTGGTGAAGGATGAGGCAGCCCATTCTCGGGCAGGCTCGGAGCTCCGTCAGAGCAGCAGCTGAGTGTCGTACTGTGCAGCGTGAAACCGTGCAGTTCACGCAGGGTCTTGGTCTCACGGGGAGTTGGAAAAGCACCAGCAGGCCGCGTCTTGCATGCACTTCTCCCTTGAGTGCCCCCTTAGGGTGCTCTTCTCCCTGGCCTGTGGTTGCGGAGACAGGAGTTGCTCATCCCAACAGCCAACGAGATCACCAGAGTCTGGTTAAACATTGGCTGCGTCGTGAGGAGGGGCTCGCAGGGAGACGAGAACACGAGGGGAAAGTAACGTCTGTCCTTCAGAGAGAGCGAGGATTGTTAGGCCAGCAGTTCCCGAAATGATCTGCCCCGACACCCTCTATTTAGAAAGAGAAAAAAGCCGACTCTGAATCCCCCTTGGCTATCTACCGTCTTTCAGCGAACAGAAAGTGCCCTCCTGCACCCTCTAGCCATACCTGAAGCCACTGTCCCCCTCCACTCCTCAGGGGGACCCCTCACTTGGGGAAGTGAGCAGGATTGTCTGCTTGGGGAAACAGTGGCTCAGTCAGGTATGAGCTGGTCCCTTTGGGGCCCTCTCTGGTCCGCGTTTCATTTGAGGGCAACTTTTTGTTCTCAGCACCCACTTCTCTTTCCCTGCTGTGGACCTGGGGCATTTTCTGTCCAGCACTGTGTATACATGTAGGACATTTGATCTGAATGTCAAGGAATTTTTTTTTTAACTCAACGTGGGTTTAAAACAATATTTCCCCTGGGTCCTCTTTACTGCACAAGTGCTTCCTATTCTGAGTGTCTTTTCTACCTGTGATAATACCCAGGGTCAAGATCTTAACTTTTATTTATATAGATGTGTATAAAGACACAGTTTTAAAAAAAGAAAACACTATCTGGGAAACCTGGGCATGCCTTTTTTTTTTTTCTATTTTGGGTCTCATTTAAGGTACTCATTTAACCTCCAGCTACGAGCACATCTCTTTGATTCCACTATTCTTCCTGCATTAACATATGCCTCAGAGACCTGGACCCTACGAAAACAGGATGAGAACGCTATTCGGGTCTCTCAAAGAGGAATTGAAAGAACTATGCTTGGAATATCACGATTCACTCAAATGAGAGATAGAATCCGGAGTTCTGATCTTCGTCAACGCTCAAGAATCAGGGACGCTGTCTCATTTGCCAAGACATCAAAAATCAGATGGGCTGGACACGTAATGAGGTTTACAGACAACCGCTGGACTAGAGCCATTACTGGTTGGATTCTACGGGACATCAAAAGATCACGTGGACGCCCACCTATAAGATGGTCAGACTTCTTCGTCAAGACCCTGAATGATCGGTTTGAGGTTCTGCATGTTCCTAGAACGAACAGATGCCATTGGGCTACGCTAGCACGCAACCGGGATGAATGGAGACGTTACTGGCACCCGCTCGAATAAATCGATGAATAACGGGGATTAAGTGATTCAGTGATTAAGTGATTGGGTCTCATCCAGCGATGCTCAGGGATTACCCCTGGTGGTGCTTAGGAACCAAATGGGATGCTGGGGATCGAACCCTGGTTGGCAGTGTGCAGAGCAAACACCCTATCTGCTGTTTACTATCATTCTGGCCCCTGGGCTTACCTTGTTTGCTGGCTGTCCTGCCCCTGCTGCGCCCCCCCCCCACCCCCGCCCCATACACAGAGAAAGATCTGGAAGGGAAGGTTTGAAATGAGCAGAGGGACTGGGCCCAGCTGTGTGACTCATGCACAGATCTGATGTTAATCACCAAGCCAGGAAGGTTTGTACACAGTGAGACGGGTGTCTCCGCATGCCCTGGGTGGCTTTTTATAAACCTGCGTGTGAAGGATTGGGAAGGAGTCAAATTCTTAATTGTGAAGCAAGGAACGCTCCCTTTCAGCTAGCAACTAAGCAAGGAGTCCAAGGTTCAGGGACAAAGTCTGGGCTTCTGGTGCTCACCGGATCACCACCCTCCAACAACATCCCAATGTTTCTTTGTTTTTGGATTGATTTGGGGGTCTCCAGTGGGATGGGGCCACACCGAGCTGTGCTCAGGGCTTACTTCTGGATCTGTGTCAGTGGTCGCTGCTGGTGGTACTTGGGGGACCATAATGTGAATCATACCCAGCATGAGTTGTGTGCAAAGCAAAAGCCTTAACCCTGGGCTTTGTCTCTGCCCCCCCAACCCTTAACCTCTTGGTTGTCTGTCCATGTCTTATTATCACCTGTAATTATTGTATTGTGATTTATATTCTAGCATTAGCCTTAAGGACTCTCAGCCATTTAAGGAAAAGAACACTGTAATAACTAAGGCCAGCTACAAAATAAAAAGGAAGGATATTGATAACAAGTAACTTTTCTTTATCGGTTTTTTATTTGGGGGCAACCTCTATCCAGCAGTGCTCAGGGGCTGCTCCTGCCTCAGTGCTCGAAGCCTGATCCTGAGCTTCGGAATCATGTGGTATCAGGGGCCAAACCTGGGCCTCCTGCATGCAAGGGATGTGTGCTGCCCACTGAACCATCTCTCTGGCCTTGATGATAAGTAATTTCTAATTGTATACTTCTACATCCCGGCATGTGGATGGTGTTTCTTTAGCACAGCGGTAGGGCGTTCGCCTTGCACGCAGCCAACATGGCCGACCCGAGTTCGATTCCTCCTTCCCTCTCGGAGAGCCCGGCAAGCTACCGAGAGTATCTCGCCCGCACGGCAGAGCCTGGCAAGCTCCCCGTGACGTATTCGATATGCCAGACACAGTAACAACCAAGTCTCCAATGGAGACGTTACTGGGCCCGCTCGAGCAAATCGACAATCAACGGGAGGGCCTTTACCTTTACCTTTACCTTTTTCACTTTAAGGACCATGATTTATAAAGTTATTGATAGATATTGGTATACAGCATTCCAACACCAATTCCATGACCAGTGTCAATTCCCTCCACCACATTTCCCATCCTCCCTCCCGCTCCCTCTCCCCAGCCCCTGACCTGCCATCTTGACAGACACTTTACATAGTTTGGTGGTTATAGTTTAAGTCTCCTGATTTCAGTGTTCATGAAATGCTTTGGGTAAGTAGCCATTACCATTCTCCCACCTCACCAATATACCCAAGACCTCTGTCCCCTGTTCACCCATTACTTCTCTTTCTCCTCTTCTACTCCCCCCCCCCCCCCCGCTTGATTTCTTTCCTTCTCTGTCCTTCTCCCTATGCTCTGGAGTCAAGGGTGACCTAAGCACACCCTTTCCTACTTCACTTTTCCACATCCAGCTATTCTCTGTACCACAGATAAGTGAGATCATCATATGTCTTTCTTCTGGCTCCCTTCATTCAACATGATAACTTCCAGTTCCAACCAGGCTGCAGAAAACTGCATGATTTCATCATTCCTTGGAGGCTGCATAGTATTCCATTGTGTATATATACCACATCCTCAGAACCCATTCATCTGTCATTGGGCACCTAGGTTGATTCCGTATCTTAGCTATCATACTGGTGTGCATCTGTCCTTTTGAATGATTTTTTTTTGTCTTGAGGGTAGATACCCCAAAGTGGAATTACTGGGTCATAGGGCGGTTCCATTCTTAATTTAGATAGTAAGTATTTCGAATAAGAGTCAGCCTGTGTTTGTGACCATTTGTTTGTAACTGATTGGAATGGAAATGCAGCACCCAGTTCATTGAATTGAACTAGTATGAATGACATTACCTTCTGGTTTTTATTGGCAATAACTTTGTCTTCAGTGTTAAATGTGGAAGTGTACTTACTCCAGATCGTAAGTGGCCATTTAAATATTGATTTTTTTAATGAGTTAGCTCAGACCTTGGATACCTGTTGTCAAGAAAGACCGAGGGCAAAGCATGTTGGTAGGAGAGGATGTACATGCAGGTTTCATGTCTCATGGATTTGACATCACTAGAAAGAGAGCAAGATGAAGCCTGAGCGTTTTACAAAACCTAATGGGCTGTTGGAAACAGGAGGCTGGCCCTGAGGAGATAACACGGTCAGTTTGAGGAGATTACTCAGACCGCAATGGGGAACCTTCCCTTACAGAGACTCTGGTCGACTCTGGTCACTTTTGTCACCGTTCCCTCAGTGTTCTTCCAAAAATGCAAGCCTATTTTGCTTTCTGCCAGTAGGAAATCAAAGAGGACCATTTCTGGCTGAGCACCTGGTTTCAGGATCTGTCTCTGAACCCCCACCCCTATCCCACCCCCAACCCCCGGTTCTTCCTTGCCTTTTATTTCCAATGGAGGTGGAAGTCCATTAGCAAAATCCCCCTGGGAGCTGTCTGAGCCTGTTCCTCCATGGCGCCCCTCAGGGCCTGTCCCTTGGGAAGATTCTCATGCTCAGCCTGAGCCTCTGCCTGGGGCCTCTCAGCCCCTGGAGAGCTAGGGGCTTGCAGTGGGCGAGCACACTGGTGCGGCCTCAGCCCAGCCCTCGGCCAAGCTCCCATTTCCTGCCTTTACAGAGAGGTACCTGTAAGAGCTCTGTTGGGGGTTGAATCTTTGCTGGCCCCCAGTTTTCTCTGTGATCTCAGGCCAGGCAGTTTTTTTTTCCCTTGAAATAAGGCAGATCGAATGATTTTTCAAGAGCCCTTCCTACCCCATTAGTCTGTGATGCATGTCCCATCTTAATGTGTCTTAAGGGCATTCAGCCTCTTGGCATTTCCCCAGGCCTCTCAACTGGAGGGTTCACTTCCCTTCCGCTGAGACTAACTCCGGAAGGGTCTATTAGCCCCGCTGAAGAGAGTGGGACTGTCTTTCAAGCTAGCAAAGATCCCAGCTTTACTAAGCTCCAGGACCACTGGCTTCTCCACGCCACAGATGAATTGTTCATCAGATCCGTAGCCAGATCCGTGGGGAGGCTGCTCTTTGGAGCAGAATGAGCCGTCGTCAGTAGACCATGGAAAGATCTGGACAAACATAGGTGGCCTACAAGGAGGACATTGCCTCCCCCCGCCCCCCAGAAGATCATGGCTTAAAAAATTTTTTTTTGAAAATCAATTAAGGGTAGGTCTTTTATAGCACTATAAAAGATAAAATAGTATCTTCACCTACTTTAAGCAAAAACAAATCTTGAAATCAAGTAAACAACTAATCCTACATCAGCAGAATTCGAGGAAAACTAGGTAACCATAACATGAATTTGTAATTTGTTCTATACTCATTTCTTCCAGAAGATTTACGGAAATGGAGTTCAAGCTCATGTCTGCTTATAGGAACACATGAAATCAAATTTATCTCTGTGCCCTAAGTACCGAGGTTTAGACAACATGACTCGTATTTGCGTTGTCATTTGAAATGCCAAGAGGCTGAATGCCCTTGTTGTTCTGTTGAAAGGTGATTTATTTTCTGCATAACTTCCCATCTTATTGTTTCTGCTAAGAAAGCAGAGCTATGCCATGCCGTGTTTTATTCGAATCAGTTGACTGGCAAGCATGCGTGGACAGAAGGAAGCTAGATAGACGTAGCTATTGATCTCATCACAGTTCACAAGGGAACTGGTGCAGCCTGTCGCATGTCCTTCTTCGCTCACTTTCTTTACGATCCTTAAAATTCTTTCATAGGTGGTAAAAAGAAATAAAGGGAGGCCACGCAACTGCCACATCAAGAGACAGCAAGTCACCTCTGTTCCAGAACCCTCTGGAGCTCCTTCGAGGCACTTGCCCTCTGCTCAAACCAGCCACTCCCTGGATTTCTAACACAGTGGTTCACTTTGGCCTGGGTCCGATCTTGCTTGTACCTTGTTTGTCCCTGGCTTCCCTCCTGGTCACCTGGACATCCGGTTTGCACATAGCACCAGTGCGACTAGTCACTGAGTCAGCCTGCCTCACAGGGGACTGGGCACCAGATCTGGCTTTTGACCTCCCTTTATTTTTTTTTTTTGCCACCTATGAAAGAATTTTAAGGATCGTAAAGAAAGTGAGCAAAGAGGGACATGTGACAGACTGCACAGGTCCAACACAAGCCAAAATCTTTGCTGTTTGGCCCTTGGTAGGCAAAGCCAAGTTGTAGACACTCTGATCCCTTCCTCCTTTGGGCTCTCTTCAATGGTGCAGGGAGGAACATTCTCACCAGTTTTCTTGGTGCACCCAAGTACTGACTGATATGAACAAATGGGTGGATTGGACCTCACGTGGCAACGCTGGGCCACGGGGCCCACAGATGGCACCTGCGCTGCCAGCCAACCAGCTTGTGAAGGTGGCTCTACCCTGGCAGGCTGCTTGGCTCCGTCAGGGTCCCATGGACCCCAGAGCTTCGTCACACTTGCTGTCCTCAGTGTTTTACATCCCATGCGTGACCAGGATTTAGCAGCGGCACGTTGCGATGTGAACTCGTATGTCCTTGGGGTCAGCTGATGTTCACCATCTGGCCACAGACTCTTAGGAGAAGCCCTTATTTAATGAGAATCATTGCTGTTTCCCTGTCGAGTGGCTTTCCTTCTTCTTTGCTGGCCACAGGGCATTTGTCCGTGTCCTGAACATGACGCTGGTCTGGTGTATTTGTGAGTGTATTTGTGGAGGCTCCTTCCCCCACGCCGTGAGTGACTGAGCCTTTGGCCATCCTCCTTTGTCATGTCTTCTGAAGACCCGATTCATACCATGTGAGGGCAGTTTGTCAGTGTTTCTGGTGTGACTGCTCTTTGGTGTTCTCTGGGAAGTACTGCTGCTTTCCCATTCCCATCCGGCTCTGCCTCTCCCTGGAAGTGATCCCGTGGGTGGGGTGAGGCGGGCTCAGCGGCCTATGCTCACGGGCTCATGTCCAGTTGCTCCATCACCACTGAACAGATGCCAGTGGGGGAGGGGGGGTCTCTGGCCCAAGTCAGGTGGCTCTTGATGCGTGGGTCCATTTCAGGATTCTCTGTTCTCTTCCCTGTCTGGGTCTTAGGCTAATACCACACGGTCTGAATAATTGTAGCTTGGTAACTCTTGCTGTCTGGCACTGTGAATTTTCTAGCTTTGTTTTTCTTTAAAAGAGCTGAACTTTCTTGGCTCCATAGAGTTCATATCAGTTTTGTAATCAGCTCACCAGTGTCCATTTTTATTAAGATTGTATGCCATCTATACCCTGACCTGGGGAAATTTAGCATCTTTCCAAGTGAGTTTATTTCATCCTTGGCCCTGGTAGCACTGTAACACTGTCCTCCTCCCATTGTTCATCGATTTGCTCGAGCAGGCACCAGTAACGTCTCCATTGTGAGACTTCTTGTTACTGGTTTTGGCATATCGAATATGCCCCAGGAAGCTTACCAGGCTCTGCCATGCGGGTGGGATACTCTCGGTAGCTTGCCGGTCTCTCCGAGAGGGACAGAGGAATTGAACCCTGGTCGGCCACATGCAAGGCAAACATTCTGCCCTCTGTGCTATCGCTCTGCCCTATTTATCATTTTCTCCTTCTGGACATAAATTTAATGCCGCTGTACGCCTCAGTGCTTTGGGACAACAATGCAGGTCACATTTACCTGCCCCGTGACGGGGTTCTTCTGACGTGCAGATTCGAGTTTGAAGGCGATATCTGACTCTCCAGAACCAGAGCATACCACAGGAAAAGTGTCAAGACAATGTGACCTTTCTTCTCTAGAATCCGAGTCTTTGGAAGGTGTTGAGAGCCATGACTGAAGCCGGGTGGGAGCCCTCCGGGTTCTTCCACTCTGGGTGTTGGTGTCATCTGTGCCTTTTCTCCCGTCACCACACCTGTCTCACTCTGGAGCTGGGCCCGGGGACTCGCTCAGGTGGTGGAGCCCCTGCTGAGTCTGTGTGAAGCCCTCGGCCTGATCCCGGCTCCACATGGCCCTGCAGCAACTCCATGGTGTAGCCCAGGTGGTCCCTGAGTGTCTCAGGACTGGGCCTTAAGACTCTTCATAACAGTTGCTGAGCCGGTGTCCCCTCCACTGACGGGTGGGGACACAGGCATGGTCTAGGGTTGAGGTGGGGTGTGGAGGCTTCTGGAACCCCTGGAGCCTTACTCACAGACTTGTGTTCCCACTCTAGGATTGCCCTTTCATTGTCTGTATGACCTATGCCTTCCACACTCCCGACAAGCTCTGCTTCATCCTGGATCTGATGAACGGTAAGAACTCAGGGGCTCTGAACCCCCAGGGAGTCTGTGCCCTCAGGGAGACTTGGCCACCTTCCTGTCGGGTCCTGGTGGCATCTCTCAGGCAGGCTGAAGCTGGGTGGCCCAGATAACTCGGTTCCCCTCAAGTTAAAGGAAACCGGCAACTCTCCCATTTTCAGTTAAAATCGTTTCAGAATGTTGACCGCAGGGGTTGGAGAGATAGTCCAGCAGATGAGGCACTTCCTTGCACATGGCAGACCCTGGATTTGATCCCCTGCACCCCATATTGTCCCCCTGAGTCCGTCAAGAAGAATTTCTGAGCACAGAGCCAGGGGTTATCCTTGAGTATTGCTGGGTGTGCCCCCATCAAAGTTAAGTTGACAGCAGTTTCTCTGAGCCCCCCCACCCCCACCCCAACCCCATCCCCAGGAAGGCGAATTTTTAAAAGTCTGTTTTTGTAAAATAAGAGTGAAACTTGATTTTCTCGAATGTTGTGGGCCAACATCTAACCCAACTTTGAAGAATCACCTTTGGGCTGATACAGCTTTCCCCTCCATCTCTGACTCTGACATCTGCACTCCTGTAGGTTGATCTTTCAAACTACAGAGGATGCCCAGAGATGGCTGAAAAGGGTTTTTTGTTTGTTGGTTGGTTGGTTGGTTTGTTCAGGGCCAGAAAAATAGTTTCCTAATACTAGACGCTGACATGGTACTTTCAGCAGCAAGACCCAAGTAGAAAGGCAGGCACACCAACCAAAGATACGCCTGCCTAGGAGTTTTGTTATGTCTTGGGGATGCATGATTTAAAGCCGGATCCATCCTTAGCATGGAAGGATTTCACAGCTGCAGTGATGGGACAAAGAAGCCAGAGAGCAGCGCAGGCTCTGCCTAGTTCTGTGACGATCAGAGAAGGCAACACTCCTGGCACGGGAGAGGCTGGAGTAGAGGCCCCTCGGCTTTGTAGAACAGGGAGCTGAGGCACTCCCTGGGAGCACCTGGGGTGTCCTGGAACTCAAGACCTTTTACTTCTTCATCTGGTTGAGTTTATACAGTAGTGTTGTGTGCGAACAGGCAGGAACTCAAAAAAAAAAAAAAACAGTGGCAATAAAGACACACACTTATAGACACGAGGAGGCTTTTCTTCTTTTGAGTTCATTTTAAATAAAACAAAAACCTTCCTTCAGCCTGTGGGGAGTCTTACTTGAGTAAGTAAGTCTTACTCTGTCTCCATCATCTGGCGATAGGATGACTTATCTTGGTCAACACTTGATCAGGAAGATCTTTGATCCCAGAGCAAAGTTGAAAGCATTTTACCAAGGACACCCAAATATTCACCAGCTAGATTTTTTTACCAGTCACAATTGGGCTTTTTTAATTTGCTTTTGCTTTTTGGGTCACACGCATCTTTCTGGGTCAGGGGTTACTCCTGGCTCTTTACTCAGGAATTATTCCTGGTGGTGCCTGGGGGCCATATGGGATGCTGAGGATTGAACCAAGGTCGGCTGCATGCAAGGCAAACACCCTATCCACTGTGCTGTCACTCGGGTCTCGACAATTGGACTTTTATTCCTTCTCTCTTGATTTAATTCAGTGTGACTTGTTGATTTTTGTGTTGTGTTGGGGCCACATGCCATTTGCAGACAGGTCAGTGCAGTCCCCTGTGTCATCAGAATGACCAGCTGGGCTTCTGGGATGGCGTCTCTGGGACGAGCCCAGGCTGAGAGCACAGATAGCATTTGCTCTTGCCTGGGCCCACACGTCTTTTCCAGTCTCCGTTCTCCCTGCAGTTTCCACTGTACTTCATAAGCACGACTGCCCTTGTCTTGCTGTGTCCTGACCATTCAGCCTCACGCCAGAGCCCATTTTGAGTAAAACTCTCTGTGCCTCAGAGTTAGGGATGGGCGACCTTCCCCCATCTCCCCGCCCTTCCTGTTCCCTGGCAGCCACACCCAAGAACTGCCTCTGGGCGCCATTTCAGCCCATTAATCACCATGATTCAGAGACTCACAAATGAATCTTGGAAGAGAGAAGCACGCCACAGATATGCCTCAGTATCCCAAATAGTTAAAAAAATTTTAGAATTCCAGGAACGCTCGACCACTTTTGTGGCCGCAGGACATCTCAGAACTATTCATGGCAAGCACTACAAAATAAATTATTTAGCATCTGCCTATGGGGCAGGCTTGGGTGGTGGTGGGAAAATTCGAAATAATGGTGGTGGGAAGGTGTGATAGTGGTGGGATTGGTGTTGAAATGTTGAATGTAAGCAGTAATCAATTGCGAACAACTTTAGGACAATAAAATTTTAAAATTAGAGAAGTAACGTGGAGTCCACGCCTCATGCTTCAGTCAGCTTAGTCAGTGGCTGAATAAACAGCAGTACTCCTAAAAAAAAACTCTGCATGTCTGATTCCAGGGGGCGATTTGCACTACCACCTCTCCCAGCATGGAGTTTTTTCGGAGAAGGAGATGAAATTCTACGCCACCGAGATCATCCTGGGGCTGGAGCACATGCACAGTCGCTTTGTCGTCTACCGAGATTTGAAGGTGAGTCGGGGCAGTGTGTGGAAGGGTATTGTGGGGTGTAGTCTGGGACCCCGCTTCTCATAGAGTACCCTGTCATTCTGGGCAAACCTCTGGGCTGAAGTCACTCTGGGTGCTGTTGGCCTCTTCCCGGCTACCAGGCCTGTCATGGGAATCCTGGCACCCGGGTCTCTGTCTCCTCCACGCCTGCCTGCTGCCCTGGCCTGGGTCGGCCCCTGTTTGCTCTCATGCTTCAGGTGTTTGAGCCAGGAAAGGTGGAAGGGCAGGTTCTGGGTGTTCCCCATTCTAGAGCTGATTTGGATTCAGTCAACGGTCACTAAGCATCTGATTTGCTCTGGGTGAAACTGGAGGCATAATGGGGCCGGGAAGAGAACACAACAGGTGAGGTGCTTGCCTTGCATGCAGCTGACCTGGTGCAATCCCCAGCTCCCTGGGGCATCCAGCTGCTCAGACAGGAAGTGGCACTGCCAGTTGCCGTACAGAACCCCTGCCACCCCCCCAGACCTCATTTTGAGCCCCACGAGGAGTGGCCGCTTTTGGCACAGTGTCAGATGAGGGGAAGATCAGTGGTTCTTCTCTCACCACCAGTTACCAAACCCCACTGCCCAGAGGGGCCCTGCCCCACACTGTTCTTCGAGATGATCTGAACGGTCACAAGTACGAGAACTGCATGGACCAGATTGGCCGGATTTGGGCTTTTGCTTCGTTCTCTTTAATAACATCACTGGGTTTGAGTCCCAGCACTGTTTAGTCTCCAGTTGTTGTGACCCTGGCAGCTCCCAGTACCATTGGGGTAGCCCGGGTATCCTCAGCACCACAGGGCCCTTGCACAGCTCAACACATCCTCAGGCCCTTGCATTGAGCTTCTGGCTGGGCTGGCTAAGAATTGCCAGCGAGGCCTCTGGGCCTCCAGCATGTGGCTTGTGAGGACCAGTAGCTCCCTGGGCTTGGGGCAGAGACCTCAGACAGGAGTTAAGGCACTTGCCTTGCAGATGGCCAGCCCCAGTTCAATTCCTGGCACTGCGTGGTTGCCCAAGCACTGCCAGAGGTCACTCTTGAGTACAGGGTCAGGAATAGCCCCTGAGCATCACCTGGCGTCGCCCAAGCCCACTCCCTAATCTCCTCTTAGGTCCCTTGCCCTCCCCCAAAATAATCTCATTGGGCTTTAAAAAATGAACTAAGTTTCTCTCTTCTGAATTTTTCTCTCCTGCACTCAAGAATTACCTCTGGCTGTGTTCAGGGGACCGTATGGGATGCCGGGGAATCAACCTGGGTTGGCCGCATGCGAGGCAAATGCCCTACCTGCTGTGCTGTCACTCTAGCCTGAACTTTTCCATTCTGGACCATGCTGCTTAGACTCGGGTTGTGTATGAATGTGGAAGCCAGGAGTTTGCTTAGCACACCTGAGGCGATAACTCATCTAGCCAGCCATCCGAAAGGATGGAAGTGAAGGGGACCTTGACAAATCACAGTAATGCCACGCATGTCTAATAGCAGGGAGGGAAGTGACAGGCATGAGAACTGCCTGGCAGCGTGAGAAGCATCTAGCAGACTCTGTACCTCCTACCTCAGAATCCCTCTGGAGACTGTGTGCCTCCTAGCCCAGAACCCCTCTGGAATGAACGCAAGTGACCAAACGAGATGTGCAGACCATGCGCTCCTCTCAGGGAGCTCCTCTCAGCATGGTTAGTTCACATTTTTAGGACCCCTTCTGAGACTCTCAAAAATGCTGTCTGATTTCGGGCCATATTTTAGAAACAATAAATTTTAAAGCTTTCTTTGAGATGAAAGAATCATACCACCTTTGTATACCTGCACTGATAAACTTTAATTCACCTGTAGCAACCTAAACTGCAGTAAATGAAAAAATTTTTAAAAGGAACACTTCTCTTAGCTTTCATATGAGCATCAAAAGGGGAAAATGTATTTTCGTTTGGAGTGGTTTGACACTGGTAGCCACGTGACCTTTTTGTTTCTTCATCTGAGTATTACAGAATTAAAATTGCATGCAGAAGGCCCACGAAGTTCTATTGTCGCATGTTTTCATTTAAATCTGCCACTCGTTCCTAATCATCTTTATGATGCATTTTTGTCTTCCGAGCTATTTAGTAGGCAGTGGCATTACTTAATTTCTATTCAAACTTAATTCTAGTCACTCATGATTATTCATGCTTCAATTTTATCATGGCGTGCCTTGATTTTTATTTCCAGCAAAATAATTGTTGATCTCCGGCAGAAAAATATTATTAAGATGACTTTAATTCGGTATTTATTAGGGAGGGAAGCTTTGTTTTCCGTGACTATGACCATTAAATCGAATCTTAATGGACCCGTTTCATCAGAGTCGCGGTCACTGTCCTCTCTGGTCATTTAGTGGGGCTCTGTGTTGATGGCAGACTAGTAAACAACACTGACATTGATGGGCACCCGCGTGCTACCGTGGAATATTGTGATTCCTGAGGCCAGAACGTGCGTCTTCTGTAGGGTTCTGTCCCCTGCTGTGTTCTGGGATCTTGTCCTGAGAACCCCTGATGGCATGAATGTCTTCTGGCTACGCCATAGATTTTGTAGCCCAGGTCAGAAACAGCTTTTTGCTCATGACAGTGGTCAGGCCCCTTCCGTGTTAGCTGCCTGGCTTCAGAGGAAGATGCTGTCATTTCTGTCATGACCACTTTGCTGCTAAAATTACCAGGAAACTGATTGCTCTCAGGGTCCTTCCTTCCCTGGGTGGGAGCACATAAATTCGGCTTCTTGTTTCCACACAGGCTATGACAGAGGAATAAGATAAAAGTCACGATCATGATCATCCTGTTCGTCGATTGCCTCGACAGGCCCCCGTAACGTCTCCTTTGTCCTAGCCCTGAGATTTTCTTTAAAAGTGCCATATTCGAGGCTCTTTCAGGGTTAGGAGAATGAGACCCATCATTGTTACTGGTATTTGGCATATCGGGTACGCCACGGGGAGTTTGCCAGACTCTGCCGTGTGGGCAGGTAACATTCGGTAACCTGTCAAGTTCTTATTATCTCATTAAGATAAAAGTACCTGTAATTTTATTTCATTTTGTTTTGTTTTGTTTGTTTGGGGACCATGACCAGCAATGCTCAGAGGTTACTCTGGGCTCAGCACTTAGGGATCATTCCTCGTGAGCTCGGGAGACCAGAGTGGGTGTCGCAGATTCAACCCCGGTCGGCTGCATGCAAGGCGCATACCCAACCGGCAGTGCTGTCTCTCTGGCTCCGACGTGCCCGCCAATTCAGAAGCTCTCAAAGCCCCTGTGATATTCGAGGGACCTTAAGGATCATCTTGTCTCTCATTCTAGCCTGCAAATATCCTCTTGGATGAACACGGACACGTGAGGATATCAGATCTAGGTCTGGCGTGTGATTTTTCCAAAAAGAAGCCGCACGCGAGTGTGTGAGTATCCGGGGGACTCTGGACGGTCTCACGCGGGCCCAGACCTGGGCACCTGGGCACGGCCTGGGAATGGGCCCAGGGGTGGGGGGATTGGTTTGCATCGTGCTCTCATCCCGGGCTGGAGGGGAGGGAGGGAGTCAGAGGGGTCTGTTTTCTCCCTGGGGGAGCTCAGTGGACCTGAAGTGGCCAGAGGCTCTGGGGCTTGGAGCAGGGCTAAGGCCCCCTGTCCATGCTGTGTGAGCCCTAGCATGTCGGTCTGCCTGCCACACCCACAGTCTCTCCATCTGTGGAGCAGAGGCAAAACGCCCCTTGCAGGTGCTGAGACGCTGCCTGGGATGCCCAGGCCAGGACCCACGTTCCCTCAGCTTTTGGCTTTTCCCTTTTTCTTTAACGTGGCATCCCCCACCACCACCCCCAAGTGACATCAGGGATTTTTTTTCCCCCCACACTTAAGACTAGATAATCCACTAGCAGTTTGACTGGAAGAGCAGGTCATGCGTTTTGCTCTGAGCACTGTGTCCTCCCCATGGTCCACCAAGGGGTCCCCGAGCACTGAGGTGGGGGTGCTGCAGGCGTGGGTCATGGCTGGGACTGTGTCACACACCCCCTCCCCGCTCTGCTGAACACCTGCCACCTTCCTCTCGGCTGTCCTGGGCTCTGTCCTTCTGCGAGGCAGGTGGCCCTCCCCCCCTCCCCCCACCAGGGCCACTTGTGGAACACTCTGTGGTTTGTTTTCTTTGGTTTTTCTCTTTTTCAAGTGTTTCTTTTGTGGCACCCACCGAGTCTTTCAAAGGTGCATCTTACTGTGTGTCTTGTATGTGTGTGAGAGTGTCCTGGAAGAAACGCCAGATGCCTTCCTGAATTTGTGCACGCAGAAAATAGCCCCCAGACCCTCCTGGGTGTGGGATAGGTCGTCCAAGTGGTTCTTAGCCGAGGTGCGTGGTGGGGGTGGGGGGCGGCTGCAGCGGCAAAGCTCTGATCAAATGTTAATAGCGACCAGCTCCAGCTCTGCAAACAATGGGAGATGGTGAGAAAAGCATTAGCATTTTGCGGGCACTTTACAGTTATTAGGCCAGAGCCTGTGGTTGCATAACTCCCAGGGAGTCCATCAGACATTTTAAGAGTCATTTGAATTTTTAATGCCACCGCTATTCGGTATGCTAATTTCTTCAATTTAGTATGGTCACAGCTGAATATGAATCCAAGAGCTCATAAGAGTTAATCTTCCACAGAAATTAACTTGAAGATAGGCGGTTATTTATTTCCCGATGGGGCCTACCCACTTTTGCCTCTGATTCACATGTCAGCTCCAAGAGGCAGGCCAGGCGGCCCTGGCCCCTGGCTGGCTCGGCAAGGCGTTTTATTTGAGCAGCTTCTGGAAAGGGGTAGGACGGGAAAGGTGGAGATTCGTGAATGATCCAGCCACGTAGGCCACTGCCTGAAAGTGGGTAGGAGGGGAGATGGCTCGCTGGGCTGAGTGCATGCTGTGCTTGAAGGAGGCCAGGCTCCATCCCTGGCACCCTGGGTGTGGCCCACCCGCCAAGCACCACCAGGAGGAGCTCCCAGCACCTCTGGGCAGGGCCCAAAACAGTAAACAAAACATCAAATAGGGAGCCGGAGCCATGGCACAGTGGGGAGGGTGATTGCCTTGCATGCAGCCAACCCGGGTCCGATCCCCGGCATCCCATAGGGTCTCTTGAGCCCTGCCAGGAGTGAGTGATTCCTGAGGGCAGAGCTGGGAGTAAGGCCTGAGCACTCCCCAGAAGCAAAAATTGAAAAGTCAAATAGAATGATATATTTTTTAAAAGATCAACGCACACAGTGAGTAGTTAGTGTTTTAAGGAAGTGGGTGGAGGGACACGTTACGTACGGCCGAGAATGAAGACGCAGCCAGCAGGGCGGGTTTGGGTTCTTTCCCCTTGCTTGCTTGCTTTCCCCAACCTCCTTCCCCTCCCCTTGGAAATGCGGATAACAAGGATGTTTACCTCTAATGGCAGCAGTGAGGGTCACTTGCCCCGTTCTGATGGAGGCAAGAATGTTTCTCTAAGACCCTCCAGATGAAAGGCCCCCGACCTCCTGGAGCCCGGCCCAGGGAGCCTCCTGGAAGTGGCTGTGCATGGGATGGTGGTGCTGGTGGCCCCATGTCATCTGACATTGGCTGAACGTTGGCTGTCCAGGCACACAAAGCTGCTCTGAACCCCCTAGTAGCTCCCTGGAACCTCTCCGGTCACAGTTACCATCCTCTGCTTTGGGGCCAGGGTGTGACCCAGTGATACAGGCATTTGCCTTGCTCTTGGGAGGCCTTGGATTTGAAGCCCCAGTATCATAAACAGAACTGTCACTGTCACTGTCCTCCCATTGTTCATCGATTTGCTCGAGCGGGACCAGTAACATCTCCATCGTGAGACTTGTTACTGTGTTTGGCATCTCGAATACGTCATGGGTAGCTTGCCAGGCTCTGCCGTGCGGGCGAGATACTCTTGGTAGCTTGCCGGGCTCTTCGAGAGGGGAGGAGGAATCAAACCTGGGTCAGTCAGACCGGCCACGTGCAAGGTGCAAGGTCAGTGGTCTACCTGCTATGCTATGGCTCCAGCCCAAACATAACACGTTTTTAAATTAAAAGAATTATTAAAAATGATATATAAAATTTCACATAGTATTTTTATGTGTGTATATATATAATATGTATACATATGTACATACATATATATGCATATGTATATATATTATGCCTGGTTTAGCCTTGGATCCCCCTGGCACTCCTGCTGGGGTGACCCTGATGGCCCCAGCAAGACCCAAGCATTAGCAGCATCAAATGCTATCTCAAGCTAGTTACCCACGCAGTCCACTTGGTGAAGAATCACCTAGAGTCTCAGGATCCCCTGAGATCTGCGTAGGAGACTACATACACACACACACACACACACACACACACACACAAAGGTTAATTAAGAGAAACTAACTTGAACAAGGTCACATATCTGGTACATTGTGAACGAAATGAGGAATCAAAATATTAACTTGAGCTCGAATTCAAACCCAGTTTTTTTCTTCTGTGTAGTATTGGGCCCACTCTCAAAGACTGATAATTTGAGAGCCAGAGCAATAGTACAAGAGTCTTGCATGAGACTGACTCTGTTTTGACCCCAGCAACGCATATGGTCCCCCAGAACCACTAAGGAGTGATCCTTGAGCAACAGAACCAGGAGTGAGCCCCAAGCATTGCCAATCTGCGCCTCCACCCGGGGCTCCCCTACAAAAGTCCTGGACCTCTCTGCTGCCTGTTAACCAGATTAAGGGATTTGGGTCACCTCAGACCTGGTTTCCCAGGTCCCCTCAAAATCGTGACCCCCTTGCTGGGGCCCTGTCCAGCTGGCCTATCCTCACATTAGCAGTATAACTGATCTGAGCTGAGGCGTAAGTCCATGTAGTCCTGGAATCACCCTGTTATCACAAGCAAAGTGAAAGCTGACTGGAACAAGCCAGGAAAAATCGGAGGGAAACTTTGGGGATGGAGGAGATGAGAGGACCTTAAGGTGCATGCCGGCTCGCCCTACCCGAGGACACAAAGCCGTGGCTGGGTTTCAGGGCTTCTCAGTGTTCTAGTGCTCTTTCTCTGCATGGTCATGCAGCACCCCCTTCCATGGGCAGGGCCAGGAATGCTGGGAGCTGCGGTGTGGGCAGCTGGTGCCAACCACCGCACTGGCTGGCCCGCATCTTTCTCTGTGCCCCTCGTGTGCCCCAAGACCCCCTGCTCCATCACCCCCCCCCCCCCGCACTCACCCCTAACCTAGTGTGTGCACCCTTGTTGGTATCTGCCCATTCCAGGATTGGGTTTGGGCCCGAGAATCTTGGCGGAAATATGCTGGTGAAGGTTTGCCCTGAGCCACACCGTCTGGGACGTCCCTCTGGAGGTCCCTCCTAGAGACCCCCGCTCCTGTGCAGGAGTCCAGACCTGTGCTCAGTGCTCAGTCCACTGCCATGGAAAACAGCTTTTTTGTTGCTGTGCCATAAATTCATTCAAAATAGGCATCGGGGCGTAGGGCGTTTGCCTTGCCTGCAGCCTACCCGGGTTCAATCCCCAGCATCCCATATGGTCCCTCTCGAGCACCACCAGGAGTGATTCCTGAATGCAGAGCCAGGAAGAACCCCTGAGTATCACTGGGTGTGACCCAAAAAGCAAATATATATATATATATATATATATAAGCTGGAGCGATAGCCTTGCACACAGCCAACGTGGTCGACCTGAGTTCGATTCCTCCGCCCCTCTCAGAGAGCCCGGCAAGCTACCGAGAGTATCTCGCCTGCATGGCAAAGCCTGGCAAGCTACCCGTGACGTATTTGATATGCCAAACACAGTAACAACAAGTCTCATGATGGAGACATTCCTGGGCCCGCTCGAGAAAATTAATGAACAACGGGAGGGCAGTGACAGTGATATATATATATATATATATATATATACCTCTGGCTCAGAGAGGAAGTGCCGTGGGTCAGGCGCACGCTGAGTGGGTTCGATCCCCGGCACAACATACGGTCCCCCGAGTCCTGCCAGGAGTGATCTCTGAGCATAGAGCCAGGAATATCCCCTGAACACTGTCATGTGTCTGCACTCACACAACCCATCCCCCCCAAAATGAAGCCTGTTGGAGGGGCTGTACCCTGGCCTGCCCCAAAGCTGTAGATCCTGTTCGCGACCCATTCTGGTGACAGCCACACAGCAGGGAAGGCATTTTTACCAAACCAGAGAGAACTGGTGGGGAGCAGGGACACTGGGACTGGGGCTGCTTGGGGCCTTTGCAGGGACCCTTTCTGGCTACATATTTGGAAAGTTTCTCGGGAACTGTGGGTCACTTCAAGACAGAACAGAACATGTTCAGATCATCATGAAGGGGTGTGTGTGTGTGTGTGTGTGTGTGTGTGTGTGCGCGTGTGTGTGTGTAGGGGTGGATAGAAGAATGAGAGGGCCTTGCAGTTACCGACGGTGCAGATTTTATCCAGAACAGTTGTCCTGGTCCCCCCCAAGTGATTTTCATCCCCTTCCTGAAGGCGCCGTCATGTGGCTGAGCTGGGCCCTAGACGCCCTCCATGGTTTTCGAAACCTAACGCATCCCTTCTCTCCTTCTCCATCCGCAAACCCTTGTCCTACTTCTTCCATGGTACCTGGTGGCCTGTGGCCTGCCGCCTTGGCATGTGTGATCCCAGTGCTCTCAGCACAGGGGGGTAGACAGTCCCTCCCTGCCCCTCTGCAGGGCAGAGTGCTGTACAGAGCCACCTGGTCCTGATGCGGGGTTGGGGCGCCCCTCCTCTGCTGCCTCTCCTCCCCAGAGCTCTCGCAGACACCCACAGGAGAGTCACCTTCGCTCTTCAGTGTGCTGGCGGGTAAGACTGAGCGAGATTCAAAATTTCCGACCTCCTCAGCCGGCCAGCTGGCATTGTCTTTCACACAAGGATGTATGTGTATTCACGCAGGTACTCGCTGGCCCGGCAAAGGCTGCTTCCCGCCCAGGTGTCACATGCACGGTGGTGCCTGGTGGTTCCCTTCCCCCACGCACACCGGCCTCTGAGCGAGCTGCCCCTGTGTGCCCAGGTGCGTGTGCTGAAGGCTCCCCGTGTTCTTTCTCTCCCCAGGGGCACGCATGGCTACATGGCTCCCGAGGTGCTGCAGAAGGGGACGGCGTATGACAGCAGTGCCGACTGGTTCTCCTTGGGCTGCATGCTCTTCAAGCTTCTGAGAGGGTGAGTATGTGCTGGTGAGCGAGTACCGGGGGGGAGGGGTGCACCCGAGCAGCCCAGAGCCAGAGCATTCAGACGTGCCTCCGTTAGAGCGTTCAGACGTCACTAGGTCCCAGCATTCTTTCTCTGCCCTCCACCCCGAGGTGCTTTGCATCGCCCTGAAATTGGACATCCCACCCGTGACTCTTACTGCATGCAGTCAGAACAACTTTATGGCCAACCGCTCACAATGTGAGGCTTTTGTTCCCTTCCCACAGGCACCCCAGCATCTGAAGTGAGATGGCTTTAAAATATTTCCCTCTACTGGGGCTGGAGCAATAGCACAGCGGGGAGGGCATTTGCCTTGCACGCGGCCAACCCGGGTCCGATTCCCAGCATCCCATGTGGTCCCCTGAGCTACTGCCAGGAGTAACTCCTGAGTGCAGAGCCAGGAGTAACCCCTGTGCATCGCTGGGTGTGACCCAAAAATCATTGATATAATACATATTAAAAATAATTCACTAATAAATAAATATTTTTAAAAAACTGGAAAGGTGGGGGCTGGAGTGATAGCACAGCGGGGAGGGCGTTTGCCTTGCACACGGCCAACCCGGGTTCGATCCCCAGCATCCCATATGGTCCCCTGAGCACCGCCAGGAGTGATTGCTGAGTGCAGAGCCAGGAGTGAATCTCTGTGCATCGCCAGGTACGACCCAAAAAGAAAAATAAAATATTTCCCTCTACCATCCTTTGCTGGGGAAAACTTTATATTGTAGACTATAAATGATTAAAGATGGTTATGGACCTTTTCCCCCCCCCCCACCCCCTTCCTTAGAAATTATTATTTATTTTTTTTAATTATTATTATTTTGCCTTTTGGGTCACACCCAGTGATGCTCAGGTTTTACTCCTGGCTCTGCACTCAGCGATTACTCCTGGCAGGGCGTGGGGGACCCTATGGGATACTGGGCATTGAACTTAGGTCGGCTGCATGCAAGGAAAACACCCTCCCGGCCCTCCCTTAGAAATTATTGCTTCGTGGTTATCTTAGGAGCATTTTGAAGTTTGCAAAACAGGGGAAGGATCCATTTGGGAAAAGTGGACATTCATTGGTAAGCATGCAGGAACTGGTGTCTTTCAAAGCACACAGACAATGAATTTGTAGAATTGTGTGTGTTTCATGATTTGTGTCACGTGGGACCCTTCGTTCTGAACAACCAGAGTCGGTGCAATCGACCGGGCAGATGATGAAATGCAGTCCCTTGCAAAATCCGTCCTTGGAGTGAATACTTAGCAGGATCCTAATGTCGCCATGAATCTTAAGAACTTCTACCCAGTTTGACTAAAAACGTTGAAGTTTTTTTTTTTTTTCAAAGAACGTTCTTGGCTTTTCTTTATGCACAAAGATCCAGAAAACGCTTCATATTCAGGTTTCCTTCTCCTGCGCACACAGGCCCAGCAGTTTAAGCTACACCAGTAGTCGCCTTTGCGCTCACCCAACTCACCGAGCACCACTGTATCTTCCTCTTCTATTTAGGACCTTCTAAGCAGAGTCTGGATTCGGTTTCTTCCCCCCCGACTGGCGTGGAGCACCCTGGCTGCTTCCTTAGGAGTCGGATAATTCAGTTATTCTCCACTGACAGTATTCACTTGGGACCTGAGATTATATTATTGCTTAGAAAGTCAGGTCCTGGTGGGCCTCAATTGCATTAGGACATTTGTGGAGCCTGGATGGCCCTAATTCACTCATCAGACTAGCTGACCCAATTAGAGTTTCTGTAAGAGAGGCCAGAGGAAACGGCTTCCACAGGAGAGGCTCTTCCACCACTGGCGGCTGTGCGTGTGTCCGAGACTCCACGCAGGATGCAGAATCCACCCTGCATTCTGAGGCGATTAAAGAAGAACCATCAGCTTAGCTGATGAGTGCATTCACCGAGGGTTCAAATACCAGTAGTGGAAATATGTACTCAGGGGCCAGAGTGAAATAGCACAGCGAGTAGGGCTCATGTCTTGCCTGTAACGAACCCAGATTTGATTCCCCGGCCCCTGTATGGTCCCCCGATCCCCTCCAGGAATGACCCCTGAGCTCAGAGCCACAAGTAAGTCATGAGCATTGCCGGTGTGACTCATGAAATACAACCAAACAGATACACTTGGGACTTTGTTTCTTCACTCACTTTGATCTTATTCATCTGTTCTCTGATACTGTGTTGCAAGTGCGTTTGGTCGGGGTGATCTGGCATGACACTCCTCATTTTTTAAAGGGTCTGACAGTTTCCTTAATCACTAATTCGGCGTGACCCAGCCGTGCAGTTCACAGCCAAGAAAGTGAATCCGGTCTTAGCCGGCCGACACTCAGGCTGAGCAGACTGAATCAGGAGGTATCGATCCCTGTGTGGGGCCCTCGATGATGCTCTCGGTTACAACATGCTGTACCATGTGGCTCTGTTGAAGGGAGTCTTGGTTTAAGGAAGAGGGAGGTGACTGTGAAGATGGGAGGGGTTCGGTTGGGACGGGAGGGGGTGGGTTGGGGAAAAGGAAAAGTGAGAGAGCTAGGAATCATGGCACACACGGGAGTATGGAAGCGCGGGCCCAGGACAGGCTGGGGATGTGGCCCCAGAGGTAGAACACATGCCTTACAGGTGCACGTCCTCAGGGTTCAGGCCCTAACCCTGCCCCCCAGCACGGCTGAGCGTGGTTCCAGTGACCTCCAAGCTCTGCCTCCGATTCTCCTCCACAAGAATAACCAAAACTTGATCTAAAACAACAAACAGAAGCTGGTACAGAGCATCGGGGAGCCGTGATGATTGGCTGTAGCTCTGGGTGGGCCAGTTTACTGGACATGTCCGTGCTACAGAGGGCTGATATTGTCAGGAGGAAACGGATTTCCATTTGACACAAGAATGCCCGCCAAGCACTCTGGCTTCCGGTGGAGGCATGTTCGGGTCCCCAGTGACCTTTCCTGAGCCTGGTGGGAAGCTGATGAGTTGGTGCTTCACCCTCAGGCTGATGAGCTCACAACATTCTTGTTATTACTCATTCAAAGGCCATCCCAGACCCCCCCACCCGCCCCGTGGGCCAGAGAGATGGTAGAGTGAATTGGGCGCTCACCTGTCATGTATGCAGCCAACCTGGGTTTAGTCCCTGGCACTGCATAAGGTCCCCCCGAGTACAGGACTGATTCTTGAGCACAGGAGTCAGCTCTGAGCACCACCCAGTGTGGCTCAAACTTAAATAACAAACCAACAGCCAAAATGCAGAAACAAAAGCCAGTCCCTTGAAAGGACATAGCACGAAAACCCAACACTGGCCAAGTCGTTGTTAGCTAAGTGACCTGGATTCGACTCGGTCAGCTTTTCCGGGGTGCCTGCGGTCTACCAGGGGTGTGCTTGGAGTTCTCCTGGCAGGAAGACAGGGAGGAGGGGTCAGAAGGCTGCAGGGGAGCCAACAGCTGTGGGCACACAGGATGACGCCATGCCCAGTGCTCAGGAGCTTGAGTGAGTGCCCGCCTCTTTCCAGTGACAGTGATGAAGTAGACTTGGAAAGCGCCCGGAGGCATCATCCTGACGGGGCGGGTTGGGGGGGGGGGGCAGGGGGGCAAGCCCGAACATGGCTCCTCCTGGGGCTGGGGGTTCCCCCATCTGCTACCTCTGAAAGGTGGTCAGCTGCTTGGGGCGGAGCCAGGGAGTTGGTGCAGGGTGGGGGCGGGGAGCTGTCTGCAAGAAAGCTCTTTTAAGATCAAGTCACACACAACAGAGAGATTGGAATTCAAGCTCTGGAGTCGGGCTGGGCTTTGTTCTTGAGACCTCCGGAGACCAAAGACAAGCAAGGGACGGTCACGGGGTGGTTTTCAGTAAGAAAAAAAAGAAAGTAAGGGGCAGCAGGAGGACCAGGCAGAGGGGCACAGGAACCCTAACAGAAGGTGGTTTGTGCGGGGGCAGGGGACCACTTCCTATTGGTGGCAGTTGGAAAGCGGGTGAAATTCCCCAAAACAGGGCTGGAGCGATAGCACAGCGGGGAGGGCTTTTGCCTTGCATAGCGGCAGCCCCGAGTTCAATTCCCAGCATCCCATATGGTCCCCCCAAGCACCACCAGGAGTAATTCCTGAGTGCAGAGCCCGGAGTAACCCCCGAGTATCGCTGGGTGTGACTCAAAAAGGAAAAAAAATTCCCGGAACTAAGCATGTAAAATGCCCCCAGTGCTTTAAATGAACTGATATTTATGGAGGCGTGCCGTGATGGGGTCAGCAGGAAATGGCCTGGCACTGTCTTCACCTCCCACCTCCCGGAGCTGTAATTGGGGGCAGGGGGATGGTGTCACCTCCTGGAAATCAGGCAGAGAAGCTTCCTGTAAGGCAGTGCTCCCCCGTGGCGCTGGAATGAATTTTTTTGTTTTGTTTTGTTTCTGAAAACGGGGTAGTCATCCTGAAGAGTTTGAAACCTCTGTTTTTTTTTGGGGGGGGGGGCTGGGAGGAGGACCACTACCCGGGCCCCCAGGGAAGAAGTCCCCCCCCACACACACACACCTGGTGCACTCACACCGTGTCTGTCCTTGTCGCTCAGAGCCCAGAGCCAGTCCAGTTTGATGACTGCTGATAGCCCGCAGGGAAAGGCACACAGTGCCTCTGGTTGGCCTGCCGTGCGTGGTACTGCCCCCTGCTGGCAAGACGGAGAATTAGCCGCCCGCGAAGGTCCGAGGTGCTGAGACCACAGGGGTCCCCTCTGCCTCTCCTTGGGTCTGTGTAGGGGGACTGAACTGAGGTCCCCGAGCATGGTCGTCTTCCCCCTTATTTTCTGTGGCTAGATACTTTTTACACTAACCAGTGTGTTTCACGGCACCCCCAGTTTTATCTGGCCTCTGTCAAAGAATCCTAACCAGGCACTATGGTGGGGGTGGGGGTCAGGGAGCCAGGTCTAGGCTTGAGAACTTGCCTTCACCCCCGGCTGACAGCCCTGCACTGGCCCCACCCCCAGGCCAGGCGTCCAGGTGCTGCTCACACTGACACCCCTCACGGGGCCATCTCCACGCCCTTCTGGTCGAGCTGGGTCCTGTCACAGATGCGTGCGATGCTGTCCGCAGCTTCAGTGTCCCTTCCAGCTGTCTGTCAAGAAACAGACTCCACCGGACGTGAAACTCAGGCTTTGTGCTCCCTGGAGGTGGCAGGCAGTGGGAGGGAGGAGGGGGGTGGGGAGGTTGAGGGGTACAGAGCCCCACTTCAGGTTCGTGGACCAGCTTCTGGGGAGGGAACAAAATTAATGTGTCTCGATATTTGGGGAGCCACCGAGAATCATCAGAATGCAAATTGGATGAACCGCGCCTTCTTGGGGGTGTTCTAAAATGAGTTTTCGGAATGAGTTGGGTTTTTTTTTAAGTTACTATTATAAAAACTATGGTCCTAAATTCATTGCTTCACAATGTATTTATGGGGTTTGTGGTGTGTGTGTGTGTGTGTGTGTGTGTGTGTGTGTGATTGTCCATTGTCTAGCTCACCTTGGATGATCATCCAACAATATTGGGCGGCATTTGTCTCCCGCTTGGTGTGTAATTCAGAAGCCACTTCCCTCTCTCTCTCTCTCTCTCTCTCTCTCTCTCTCTCTCTCTCTCTCTCTCTCTCTCTCTCACACACACACACACACACACACACACACGCACACACACACACACACGCCCCACTCAAGCGCCTCCTATTCTGACACCCCTCGCTGCAGCCGGGTGCCGCGTGCGCCGTGGGGAGAACTTGGCACGCCTTGCGAGCTGTTGACGGGGCCCTTTGCTGGCGCCCCTTTCAGGCGGCCGCGTCGGGAAGCAGCTGCTGTCACACAGGCTCCGCGGACCACGTGCCTCCCGCAGAATGGGGATCGTTACTAGCCGAGGGCCCTGCTTTACCGTCCTCCAAAATAGAAACAGACTCTCTGGTTTTGTTCACAAAGAATAATCAAGCCTGCATTGGAAACAGATGTGCGCCAGGCGTTCCCCCTCGCAAGCCCCCACTTTCCCTTCACGGCGGTGCAGGGACGCTCTGAGCAGCGTTTTGGAAGGCTTCTTAGAACCTAGTGGGACGTGGCCTTGCCGGGTTTCTCTAACGGGGTGGGGAGCAGTGGCACCCACGTGCATGTGTGCCGGGTGTGTGATCGGCACCCGGTGTGTGTGTGTGATCTGGCTTGAAGTCCAGACTCCTCCCAGCCTCTCTCTTGTCCCCCCAGCATTGGTTTTGTTTAATTTAGCGTGGAGAGCTTCTGCAGAGCACATCGCTTGGTTTTGTTTTGTTTTGTTTTGCTTTTTGGGTCACACCCAGTGATGCACAGGGGTTACTCCTGTCTCATGCACTCAGGAATTACCCCTGGCGGTGCTCGGGGGACCATATGGGATGCTGGGAACCGAACCCAGGTCGGTTGCATGCAAGGCAAATGCCTACTCGCTGTGCTACCACTCCAGCCCTACGCCAGTTCTTTTTCACCAAAAGCCAGGACTTGGCCGTTTCTTCCTAGACTCAGGCCCCAGCTGCAAATCAAGATTACCTGAAGGGTTCTCAGGCCTTGGAAGTTGAACCAGAAGCTTCAATATCTTTTTTGTTTTGTTTTATTTTGTTTGAGGCCACAGCTGCCTATGCTGTGTTTACTCCTGGCTCTGTGCTCATGGAACACTCCTGGTGGGCCCTGGGGACTCCATGCAACGCATGGGATTGGCCACATGCAAGGCAAACCCCTTGCTCTCTCTCCAGCCCCTGGATAAAGTGTCTTTGTGACATGGGGACAGCTAAGTGCCAAGCAGAGAAATGGAGGCTTTCCTAAAATTAGAGAAACTTTCATTCCTTTTCTCTCTTTTTTTTTTTTTTATAATTTATTTCTTTATTGAATCACTGTGGGAAAAGTTACAGAGCTTTCGGGTTTAGGTCTCAGTCATGTAAATATCAAGCACATTTCCCTTTACCAATACTTATTTTTAACCCCGAATCCCAATAGACCCCCACCTCCCACCCCTCCCAATTCTTGTGAAGCAGATGAGCTCTAGTTAATACTCTATCTACTTTGACTAGATAGATTGTTTCGATAGAAGATGCACAATTATTGTTTAGAGTTTACGACCCACCCCCCACAATCAGACATGCTGAAACAGCGTTGTGAAATGATTTGCTTTCTACAACTTGGTTTAAGAATAAAATGATGTCGCGGCCGCGCGGTTTTGAATTTCTGCTCTTTTACTTATTGACCCTGGAAGAATTTCTATTAAAAGTTAGATAGTTAAGAGATTGGTTTCTGTGCCCTGGAGTCGTGGCCTTGCCGGAGAGCCGCTCATGGGGGGCAGCTGGCGACCTCGGTGGGGCGTGGGGGACGGCCCACAAAGCCCCCCTTCCCATGAGGTCCCTGCCGCTCCCGCCAGCCCTGGCTCAAACCTGCTGTCCACAAGGCTCCCGTGCGGCCGCCATCCATTCCTTTTCTCTTGAACCAGGAACCTGTTAGTATCTCTGTGTGTTTGGCATTAGTGATATTAATATACTTTTAAACTGTTTCTTATAAACAGCAAATGGATATTGTTTGCTGTTACATTCAGTCTGCCTTCTAAGTGCAGTCATTTGTTTCTTTCCCTGGAAACAAGGTGTCAAGGATATTTTCAGTTGGGGCAGAGCCCTAAGACCGCAGTGGGGCACTTGCCCTGCACGCCGGCAACCCGGGTTCCATCCCCGACATCCCATCTGAGTCCTCAGAGTCTCACCCGGTGTGATCACTAAGCACTGAGGCGGGCGTAAACCCTGTGCACCATTGGGTGTGGCCTAAAAGACAAAACAAAATTAAAAGAATATTTTCAGTCGAAAGCTTTTTGTGAAGATTAGTGTATGTTTGCTTGGTGTTCATTCAGCGTGATTTGGTGTTTTTGTTGTTGTTGCTGTTTGTTTTTGAAATGAATGCTCCAAAGACAGAAAAACACTTTGCATTTCACAGCAAGAGGAAAAAGAAAAAAAGAAGGTTTAGAGTGCCCTCTCTCGTACAAAGTGAAAATTAAAATGTTTAAACTAGTAAATGCCCCAGAATACAGTCATCGGGTTAAGAGATGACTGTACAGCTGCGGCCAGCTTTTTCAGATCTGTGAGAGCCTGGTGAGGAGTTCCGGTAATGGTTTTGCTCGTTGGTCCAATGGATCGCCATCCTAGAGAGTGAGCTTCGTCCTGGCTGGTTTCTGCAGACCTGGAATCAGCCCCTGCAGGGCGCTGCCATTGGCTTGATCGCTAGAACTCGTCACTTTAGTGACACCCTTCAGCGATGCCATTTTACAGGTGCCCATTTTACAGGTGAGGAAATGTATCCTGAAGTGCTTTTGTGACTAGCAAGTAGCCAAGTTGCAACTTGAACCCAGATTTTTTTTTTGACCAAGAGCCTGCGGCCTACCCACATGAGCTGTCCTCAGAACTGGACAGCCTGGTGGTACGGGTTGGGGCTTCTACTCAACAGAAAGCATGGCCTATGGTGACAGTTGCAGCACAAGTGCTTGTGTGCAGATTCCAGTTCAGTCCTGGCACAGTGTGGGTCCCCAAGCACCACCAGGTGCAGCCTGGGCGGCCCAGAGCCCGAATTTTGAAGCATGCAGCCTGCTTGGGTGACTGCCCTGGGACAGCCGTGTCACGGCCCAGGTACATCTATCTCGGGAGACCGAAAGAAAAAGAGGGAAAATGAAAGAAAAGAAAAGGAGAAAGAAGAGAAAAGAAGAGGAAAAGGGAGGAGAAAAAAAGAGACCTTTTTTAGAGAAGAGCCCCAATTCATCTTGGTCAAGTTTGGGATTGGCTAAAGCTATTTGGGTTGTTTGAGAAACCAGTTTTTATTTTGTTCAAAAGGTTACCTACAGATTTGTCTCAAATAGCGCTGCGATTGCTATTCTATGAATGAGCTTTATTTTCATGACTACTTGTTGACTCATTGTTTTTTAATTATATTTTAAAATATCCTGTGGGATAGATTTTCCCAGACACATTTTAGTGCCAGGGTTTCGTTGACACAAGGACCAGGCCACTCAGGTGAAACTTAGGCCTCGTTCTTCCAGGATCTAGCATGCCTGATTCCTAGTTTGTCTCTGGAAATGACCAGAGTTGACGGCCTGTGCCTTACTCTCATTTTCAATGAACCAAACACCAGACAGTGTGATGTGTGCTGACTGACCTAGCCCCACGTGGTAAAGCGTGTTTTTTTTTTAATTTCCACAGTCACAGCCCTTTTAGACAACATAAAACCAAAGATAAGCACGAGATAGACCGAATGACACTCACCGTGGTAAGGAAATGGAAAACTTTTAATTTTTTTTCACACCGTAACTGTCCTGCTTCATTCCATTGCAGTGAGTAGAAAAGTTTGCTCTCTTAAAAGTAAGTAAAAAGTAAGATATTGCTACAGGAAAGGGGAGAGGGGAAACGCATGCTGGGGCCAAGCACCAACTCTGCCAAGAGTGAGAGAAAAGATAACAGAGAGGGGTCCCGAGTGATAGGACAGTGGGTAGGGCGCTTGCCTGGCATGCAGTTGACCCGGGTTCGATCCCCAGCATCCTATAGTTTCCCTCAAGCACCACCAGGAATAATTCCAGAGCACAGAACTAGGAGTAAGTCCTGAGCATTGCTGGGTGTGGCCCAAATTTTCAAAAAAAAATAAAAGATAGCTGAGAACCAGGAACAGGCAGGAAAGGGATCAAGTATGAAATGGGGGGTGAGGGGTCACTGAAATGCAGAGAGGGGGGCAAGGGAGCCGAGCAGACTTCTCCCTGGGCTTCGACAGACTTTGAAAACATTGGTTTTCTGTGTCTTTGGAGTCAGTGTTCAGTCGTGACCTAGCTGCGGTTTTCTCCTTGGCAAGAAAAGGTTTTTCCACCGGGCGGGGGTGCGGGCACTGTTTCCAAGGGTGCACTTCTTTGAACTGGTTTTCTCTCTGCCCACCCAGAACGTGGAACTTCCCGACACCTTCTCCCCGGAGCTGAAGTCCCTGCTGGAGGGCTTACTGCAACGCGACGTCAGCAAGCGTCTGGGCTGCCACGGAGGCGGGTAGGCTTGGCCCCTGGCAGGGTTCTCGGCCCCAGGGCAGACCCACTGTTTCATTAGAGCCCAGCACAGTGAACCATGCCCTGGCCCTCAGAAACTCCTACTGCACCGGAGCGCTAGGTGCTGGGCTGGGAACTCCCTCGTGACTCACCCATCAGCCAGGGTTCCTCTAAACGTGGAAGGCTTGTCAGCTTGGGGAATACTTTGATTTTTATTTATTTGCCCTTACCTCCGCTCCATTTCCTTGCTGACTCTTCGAGGTTGGATGTGAAGGCGGAAAAGAGGAGTGTTTATGTGTTTGTACTTGGGTAGTGTGTGTGTGTGTGTGTGTGTGTGTGTGTGTGTGTGTGTGTGTGTGTCTGCATGTGTGTGTGAAGGTTTCAGCAGGCTGAGAAGTCAGCACTTGGCCCCTCTCGCTGATAAAACGAAATGAATGACTAGATAGGCCTCTCATTTTCTCTTTCATGACATTTGCTCTCCGAGCTCTTTATTACGGAGATCGGTAATTCACACTTAAAAGTGCTTTCAGGAACAGTCCTCCCTAAATGAATCTATGAAAACTCCTTCTCTTCAACTGGAATAAACAGTCCCAACCCGTATTCCTAGATGCTGCCGGCACCATTTCTAAACATCCCGGGACTCCAGTGTTGCTTGGAAGAAAGCATGTTTCCTTAAAACAAACAAACAAACAACAACAACAACAAAGATAGTTGTTTCTGTGTGGGCATAAGTTTTGGTGTCAGGCATTCAAAGGAGGAGACAGATTTTGGGAATTATTCCCCAACGCACCCATTGCGTGGATCTGACCCTCTCTCCCTTTAACAGAGCGCAGGAAGTGAAAGAGCACAGCTTCTTCAAAGGAGTCCACTGGCAGCACGTCTACATGCAGAAGGTACTCCCCGGGGACCCCAGGGTACCACGGCCTGTGCTCACTGCCCCACCACCCCACTGCTGGGGTCCTGGCTCTGTCCCAGGGTCCCCACCCCAGACTCCCCCGTCTATAAGTCTCTTCTTGCTCATCTTCCACCCAAGGTGACTTCTTGCTCTCCGTTCCCCGGGTAGAAACTTTGATGATGCCTTTCCCGGACACTGATGAACGGTCAGCTGGATCGCTCAGGGCATCTCCTTCCACTGTCCATGTACTTGGGCCTGGATGTTTCTTAGCTCCTCCTTTTCGAACTTCTTATCTCGGTCTCAGTGTGAGACAGCTCACATTGTTTTCCTCTCCAGTGGTCTTTATAGAATGATGGGAGAGGTGTTTGTCATCAAAGTAAACTGTCACTGTCACTGTCCTCCCGTTGTTCATCGATTTGCTCGAGCGGGCCCAGTAACGTCCCCATTGGAGACTTTGTTGTTACTGTGTTTGGCATATCGAATACATCACGAGTAGCTTGCCAGGCTTTGCCGTGCGGGTGAGATACTCTCGGGAGCTTGCCCGGCTCTCCCAGAGGGGTGGAGGAATCGAACCCGGCTCGGCTGGGCCATCCTGCTCAAGGCAAATGCCCTACCACTGTGCCATCGCTCCAGCCCATAAATGTAAACACAAATTTTTTTTTGCTTTGTTTTGTTTTAATTTTTTGATTTTATAAAGTAATTCACAATGTTTGATTATATTTAATATTCAAACACCAATCCCGCCACCATATACCTTCCCACCAATATACTTTGGGTGTTTCCATCCCATATCCCAATCCCTGCCCCAAAGCAGAACAGAAATAATCTATTTCCCTCCAACGTTGGTGGCCTTCTACTTTGAATCCCATCAGAAGGGGTGCGGTACTCTTGGAGTATGTCGGTCCTGTGAATGATTTGCACTGGCTTGTAGCTTGGGACAGGTCCATCAGGTCCTCCGGTCACTGAAGCTTGTTTGGATCTTGCAGTACCCTCCACCCTTGATTCCTCCCCGGGGGGAAGTGAACGCCGCCGACGCCTTTGACATCGGTTCGTTTGATGAGGAGGACACCAAAGGCATCAAGGTACGAAGGGGATATTGGCCTCCATTGCTACTTTGGAACCGTTGACTGGAAATCAGGCGGAGTGGGTTGCCTTAGCATAGGCGGTGAGCGGTATCTTCCGAGGGCATTTTCCATCTGCGTTTGAAGAACGGGGGTGTCCCAGGCTTCATCTTCTCCTACACCGTGAAGATTTTCCTTGGCCCAATAATGCCATGTCTGTCAGATGCCAAATGGTCAGGCTTTTCGTTGACTTGGATAGATCTGTGATTAAAATAAAATGCGAGTGTAGACAGAACAGGGGCCCACAACTTGGCAACTGCAAACGTGTGTGCCATTTGACGTGTTCTCAGGCATCCCATCTCACGGCGTCCGGACGGAAAGAGCAGACAGCGTGACTCATTGTGCGCGTGTCAATCAGAAGTGAAATAATCACTGCTTTTTAAAAAAGACAGCCCTCCGCATTTTCCAAACTTCTGTTCATATCACTATTTTCCCAAGGAGACAAGGTGTAATTACAGATAGTGAGTCACGAGGGAGAACTCTTGGGGCGCGAAGCCACTGTATCCCCACATGTCAGGCTCACATCTGCCCCCCTTTCAGAGCCTCCCCCAGATCCTGCTCCCGCGATATGTGCTCTCTGCCTCCCCAGCTGCCTGCGTGGATCCCTGCTAAGCCCCCCCTGCCCCCGACGCCCCCACCCGAGGTTTCCCTGTGATCGGTTTAATACCTTCCAGGTGTAGCTATAACAGGTGGATGATGACAAGAGGCCTGACAAGGGGGTCCAGCAGAAATGCCCAGGAAGGGAAGCAAGGAGGGGGTGGGCACAGAGATGGCACGGGGTGGCTGCATGGGGACAGAGCAGGCGGGAGCGACTCCGGGAAGATGTGAAGGTGGACAGGGAGGTCGGCCACTGTTGAGGAGGCCACGGCCATGGGATCCTGGCGGGTGGGCATGGCTAGAATTCAAGAGAGACCAGGAGGGCAGGGCCGAGTTGGAAGGTCTGCTGAGTGAACCGGCCCACTGAGGGCCTCCTCTGAAGCCTTCGTTTGCTCCCACGGACTCTGGAGTCGTGACCCAGAGATCTCTGAGTATCAGTGAGGTCAGCCGTACTCTCTGGTGGCTCTCAGGGGTTAGCCATGCTCCGTGCTGGCCCACAGAGCAGCTCTGCTTCTGGCCTTAGTCTTGCCGGACAGGTCAGAGAGAGGCTGCCCCCCCTCAGGAAGTGGACGTGAGGGGCCCAGCACCCAGCTCTGGCAGAGAGTCCCGCCGGGGAGAACGGGGGCTATTCGTTGTCTTTAAGGGACGCCCAGCTGGGAGGTGACTCGGTGGTTGAGAGATGTGCCCTACACATCTCGGGTCCTAGTCTAGGGCCCACAGTAAAATCAACTAAAAATGGTCCAGATAGCACATTATTCTTTGAAAAAATTTAAAACCTCACCTAAATATACATTTTTCCTTTTTTGTTTCACTTAATTTGATATGCCAAACACAGTAACAACAAAGTCTCCAATGGAGACGTTACTGGGCCCGCTCGAGCAAATCGACGATCAACGGGAGGGCCTTTACCTTTACCTTTAATTTGGGGGAAAAATCCAGGTGAAGGGGCTGGAGAGACAGTGCAGTGGGTAAGGGGCAGACCTGGCACATGGCTGCCCCAGACTTGATCCCCAGCACCACCCAGGGGCCCCTGAGCACCGTCAGGAGGGATCCCTGAGCTCAGAGCCAGGAGTAAGCCCTGAACACCACCAGCCATGCTCCCCCCACCGCCAAATGAATAAGTAAATAAAAAACACAGGCGGAGTCATGAAGACCAGGGGTCTCTGGAGCTGTCTGGAGACAAAGCAGAGTTGCCCCTTCCGGAGAAACTCCTCGGAGACAAGGGTGGTTTTTTTCCCCCAAAATCTTCATAATCTTTTCAAAGTGCTCTTAGCCTTGGCATCCCGTTCTACTAAACATACACCCCCTCCGCACACACAAACTCACACATACACCTGCAGACAACGCACACATCTACACACACAACACACACAGCACACCTACACACAACACATACACACTCACAACACTCATACACACATACCTACATACACTCTCACACACCCCTACACACAACACATATACCCCCCTACATACACACACACACTCACACACACACACACACACACACACACACATCCTCCAGTGTTCATACTCAGGCATGGGGCTAGGGTTGCTCTGGGTGTAATTTGGGTCCAAAGATGAATGGGCCACCGAAAGAGAAGGGGACTCTTACGAAAAGTGAGCTGAAATCCAGTTCGGCCATCTCACACGTCACCAAGGGGCTATGGGACCCCCGGACCAGGGTCTGGGCATCAGTACTTCCAGCTTTTGATTTGCTAAAGGCCCTACGGGCAAGTGTCGAACCTTGCTCTTTCTCTGCCTTTAACTAACTGCCCATGGGGATAGCACTTCCTTTTCCTTCCTCTGCCATGAGCAGATCCGGCCTTTAAGGAGACGAATGCATTTGAAGAACCCCATCTCTTCTTCCCGCAGAATCATCAGCATTTCTGCCCTACAACTGGCTCAGATGCATGAAAAGATTGGGTTGTTTTGGCTCATTTGCAAGATGTAGCAAGTGAAAGAAATGAAAGCATTTGGTTGGTTGGTTGGTTGGTTGGTTTGAGTGGGGAGCCACTCCCAGCAGTGCTCAGGGCTTACTCCTGGGCTCTGTGCTCAGAGATCACTCCTCGCATGGATCGGGAACCAGATGGAATGCCTTGACATCCCATTCTACTAAACATGCACACACACACACACACACACACACACACACACACACACACACACACACATACCCACACCCACCCCCCCCACACACACACATATGCAAAACAAACACCCCTATCGGCTGTACTGTCCCTCCAGTCTCAGAAGTAAAGAATTCTGAGCTGAAGTTAGGAAGAAAAATGTTATTTTCTGGCAAACGTTTTATTATAGTGGCTCGTTTATGAATAGTTTTAGAGCTTTAGAGAAATATGGGCTGGAAGGGAGAACTCAGTTCTCTCTGTCGCTTATGTTCATGAGTTGGATTATTCGATTAAAAGTTTGATTCCCTGTGACATTTGTGAAATGAACAGTAGATCCAGCCCTCAGTACCTTCTGATTTTCTTACTTTCCAGATTGATTCAGACCCTTGTCAAAACCCTCCTGGCTTCTCCCTTGATAATGATTTATAAAACACTCAAGACACGGTTTCCTAACTGGCACAAATAAAAGATCCTCACGAGAATTAAGATTTTATTTTTATCTTCAAATCCTTTATTACTTCAAACGAAGTCCTTTGCTTGTTCATCTCATGGAAGTGCAGTAAAAGGGATCTGGGGATCAGCTGAATCCGGTCATTTCGAGACAGCCGGCTCAGAACCCGCCAGTCAGGTTTACCAAATTGTTTGTAAATCCTGGTGGGCCAGATTGTCGTGAGCAGATAGATCGTCTCCAAGTGATGTGCTTTGGTCTGGTTCTTTTCCTACATATAATTACGGTCCTTCGGAGTCTGTGGCCTTTGTAAATGCACTCAATTGCAAACATCTCATTTCTTCCACTAATAAGCTTTTTCAAATTTCAATAATAAGCTTCTTGATTGCGACCAAGAACTCTACAAGAACTTCCCTTTGGTAATCTCCGAACGCTGGCAGCAGGAAGTAGCGGAAACAGTTTACGAAGCAGTAAATGCAGACATGGACAAGATCGAGGCCAGGAAACGAGCTAAAAATAAGCAACTGGGCCATGAAGAAGGTAAAAAAAAAAAAACTTGTCTGTCTCAAACTATTTCTAATGTGGTGAATTTTCAAAACGTCTGGTGAAGCTAAAGAAGGACTAGGGTCATAATCGCCAACAGAGGGTCACCATGTGCTAATAAAAATGCCCTGTGAGGGGCTGGAGTGATAGCACAGCGGGTCAAGCGTTTGCCTTGCACGCGGCCGACCCGGGTTCGATTCCCAGCATCCCATAGGGTCCCCTGAGCACCGCCAGGAGTCACTCCTGAGTGCAGAGCCAGGAGGAACCCCTGTGCATCGCCAGGTGTGACCCAAAAAGCAAAAAAAAAAAATGCCGTGTGAGTGTTCCATTTTATCTGGCCTCAGAAAGTTCAGTCGAATATTTGAGAGTCTTTCATGAACATACATCAACACAGTTGTCCACAGAGAAAGGGCAGCGTTTTGGGAGCATGTCCATCTTCCTCGAAGAGTTGGGGAAGGGTTGAGGGTGGGATTGAAAGGTTTTACTGAGCTTGCCCAGGCCAGCTGCCAGCCTGGTGTCAGAGCACTGGCTGCTGCCTCTCACCGCTCTGCCCTTCTTTGTTGTCCTTGGACTGGGGACCTGCAGTTTCCTCGCTGGCTGCTCCCTGCACTGCACACAGCTGGTCTTCTGAGGACCAGTGCCTTGTTCGTCCCTTGCCTACGTTTATATCGCATTCAGTCAGCACACAGCAGCACCGAAGAGTTGCCAAGCCAGGGCAGTTAGGATAGAGGAGGGAGCAGTATGATAATAATCGTTGGAAATGATAATTTTGGACAGGAACTGAGTGTTGAGAGTAGGCAAAGGGATATGTTTGATATGCTCTTAATACCGGTTTTGCAAACCATAAGGCCCGAAAGGAAAGAGAGCTGGGGCAGGGAGTGAGGGGGAGGGAGAGAGAGGGAGAGAAGAGAGAAAGAGGGAGAGAAGAAAGAGACTGTGTGTGTGTATGTGTGTGAGAGAGAGAGAGACAGAGAGAGAGACAGAGAGAGAGACAGAGAGAGAGAGGAGAGAGAAGAGAGAGAGAGAGAGAGAGAGAGAGAGAGAGAGAGAGAGAGAGAGAGAGAGAGAGAAAGTGCCTGCCCTAGTTGGGACAAACTGGCAGGCAACTGAATGTAACCTGCCCCCACGGCAGAGCCTGGCAAACTCTACGTGGTGTACCCAATATGCCAAATACCAGTGACAATGAAGGGTCTCATTCTCCTAACCCTGAAAGAGCCTTGAATATGGCACTTTTTAAAAAAAAATCTCAGGGCTAGGACGAAGGAGACGTTACTGGGGCCTGCTCGAGGCAATCGACGAACAACAGGATGGTCGTGATTGTGAATACTAGTTGGGTAGGAGGAAGGAAACTGGGAGCCTTGATGGTTTGATGGTGGGGAATGTGCACTGGTGAAGGGATGGGTGTTGGAACATTATATGACCGAAACCCAATCATGAACAACTTTATAATCGCATATCTCACTGTGATTCAGTTTTTTTAAAACCTTAAAAAAATTGCCAAGCCATATTTTTTGTAGCCGTTGAGTATGATGTCAGAAAGTGAAAATATAACAGCAAGTACTCAGTCCTTCTCGAGCTGCCAAAGTATTATCACTCTGGAATTATCCAAATCTTAGGAATTTTTGTGCATTCAAATGTGATGAATGATTAGGATGTCATTTTGTTTTACCTCGAAGCAAAAACATTTTTTCCCCAAGGTTCATATTATCCAGCAGTGACCAGAAAGAATTTCGACATAGACCACTGAGGTCACCTGTGTTTACATACATAACACATTTGTGAAATTGCTGCTTTGGTTGGGAGCATGTTGGTGCTGGCTCCATCAGTCTCATCGAGGGGATCCAGGAGCATTTCTCATCTACTGAGGAGGGTGGCCAGGATCCTGGAAGAGAGGACGTGCCCCCCAGGCCGCTAAGCACAGCCCCAGGAGTCAGAAGGGACTAGAATAATATTCCGTGTGCTCCCTTCTGCACTCGGGGGAACAGGCTTGGTTTCTGGGCTCTCCTTTAGAGATATACCATGGAAATGGTTCGGAAACTGGCTTTGTTCACATTAGTCTCACACACGAAATGATGTATTTGTATTTGATCAAGAGACAGCCATGATACTACCTGAATCTTTACAAATTGGACCAAGGAAATTATATATATATAATTATATATATAGATACATATGTAGCCACATAAGTATCAATTTGATATATATTTTATATACCAATTCGATATATATCACTTGAGATAGATGTCGATCAATGACTTTGTTCATGTGAATCCTTTTCATTAAAGTTGTCATTAGTGTTAGGGTCCGGTGTACGGAAAGACCACCCAGAGCAATGAGCTCTGCAGTACAAGATTTTATTTGACACAAGTCAAACAAGAGCTGTGCTTTTCCAAAATGGCTCTGCTGATTCTAAGCAAAGCTAAGTCTTGCAGGAGGGGAGGAGGCCTTCGCAATTAGAATAGCTTAACTTTATAGGTAAGTTATTAACGTGGGCATAACTCCATCTTGGTTGGCAATCGCAGCATTACCTCTGTAGGACAATATTGTCTAGGCTGCAATATCTAGAGCTTTTTTCTTTTTTTCTTTCTTTTTTTTTTTTGTGAAGTCACGGTCACGCTCCTCCCGTTGTTCATCAATTTGCTCGAGCGGGCCCAGTAACGTCTCCATTGGAGACTTTGTTGTTACTGTGTCTGGCATATCAAATACGTCACGGGGAGCTTGCCAGGCTCTGCCGTGCGGGCGAGATACTCTCGGTAGCTTGCCGGGCTCTCCGAGAGGGGCGGAGGAATCGAACTCGGGTCGGCCCGTGTTGGCTGCATGCAAGGCAAACGCCCTACCGCTGTGCTATAGCTCCAGCCCCTACAGATTTTATTTGGAGGATTTTTGAATGGAAGGAGGAAGAGAAAGTGGGAAAGAGTGGAAAGTAAGAGAGACAGTTATGTGCTCTAGGGAGAACGCAGGCTTCTCCAAGGGCGGAGAGAACCCCTACACACATCCCAGCGTTAGATGGGGAAGCATGAAAGTCCACATCTCAAGAGGGGGGATGCAGGTGACACATGTGCTCAGGCACCACCTGTGCTGAGCCACGCGGGTGCAAGCAGCACACAGGCTCGGGCAGCATATGCACCTGGAGCTTTTTCCTTTTTGAAGGCAAGATTTAGACTTTAAGTCCCCTTTAGCATCGCGTAGATGTAAAAATGGCACCTCCAGGAATCTCACCCTCACCCAGGCCCTCCTTTCGTCTTTTCCCTCCTATCGTCCACTGTGACAGGGCAGAGGCATGGCCTACTGCTTTGTCTGGGTGTCCCATGAGATTGCGAGTTCCCCGAACATGAGGAAACTCATCTTTATTCACTCCAGATCACCTAGAGTGCACGTGGTACCCAACACCCAGAGCCTGGTCTTTCCCTTATTTGTTGTTGAGTGGAGAAGGGAGGGAGGGAGGGAATGGATGATTTTAGCCTGATTCGCAAAGCCGTAATGAAAGCAAAACAAGCCACTTGATGCTTACTTTTTCCCCCCCACAACAAAAATCTCTCAGATTTTGAAAATTAGGGTGGGTGACAGAAGGAAAGGGGGAGCAAGGATGGGAAAAACAGGTGGAAAGGGTCATCTTGAGAGTGGACTGGATCTGGAGCGGTGGTGGATGATGTTATGAGACTTGTACCTAGTAGATGTGTGAACTGTACTCCCCAAATTGCCTCATTCTCTAAACCAGCGATGAACCAAATCAAAGTTTATTTTAAAAAAGAATTTAAAATGAAGGGAATAATGAAGGAGAACAGGGAGGAAGGAGGGGACAAGGGAGGGGGAGAAGGTGGGCAGGAGAAGTGGAAGTGGTATGAGAATAAAAAATGGTCCTGATTTTGTTTTGATCCCAGAACTTATATGCCATAAATTTTTTTAATTTTTTAATTTTATTTTTTAAAATTTTTATTAGTGAGACATCATGAGGTACAGTTGTAGACTTACAAATTTTTGTGTTTGGGTTTCAGTTATACAATGATCAAATACCCATCCCTCCACCAGTGCCCATTTCCCACCACCACGGATCCCAGTATCCCTCCCACCCCCATCCCCCCCCATCCCCCACTGCCTCTGTGGCAGGGCATTCCCTTTGGTTCTCTCTCTCTTATTGGGTGTTGTGGTTTGCAAAAGAGGCAATGGGTGGCAATCATGTTCTGTCCATAGTCTACTTTCAGCATGCTTCTCCCATCCTGGGAGGATCCTCCCAACACCCTTTATTTGGTGTTCCCTTCTCTATCTGAGTGGGGAACATAAGATAACAAAATAGGAGACCAACACCCAAGAATGACTGAGATTAGTACCAGGAATTTTACTCCATGGCCTGGAGGCCAACCACACATGCTAGGGGACAGGGGAGCTCAGATAGAGAAGGGAAAGCCATGATTTTTTTTTTTTTTGAAGTTTAAGTCAGATTCAACAATTTTCTTTTGGGGCTGGGGGTGGGGGGTGAAGCATATTCTTTGATAGTGCTTCGGGACCATGAAGTACCAGGAATCAAACCCGGACCTCCTGCATGCAAAGACTGTGCTGGGACCTTTTGGCTCATTTTCGCAGCCCACGCACGGTTCAGCTCTTTTTTAAGAGATAAAGCTTCATTATGAAAAAATTGGAATCATTCTACAACGTGACTATGAATCACCATGGTCTCTCTACACAAGTATATACCTGAGGGATAAATCTAATCTTAAATCGAGGGATGAACAGAATTTGAACTTGGTTACTACCTGCTTGGTAAGAGAATCCCTACTCCATTGTCGTGAAATGGGAAATGGGTTAAACAATCCTTAATAGAGGCAAAGGTCCTGGGGTATAGCTCAAATCTAATTACTCTGTTCCCTAGTTCTCCTTATCCATAACCAAAGAATAGCTTGGGAACAAACGTTTCATTCGTCCAAACACCACAGACACATCACAGTATCAAGACACAACCATCTAATACATTAGTACAGGAGAGCTGAGGGTTCTTTGTTCTTTGGATCTCTGGTTCATGGGTGATGAAAACAGAAAAGAGTTCTTTCTATAACGTGTTATATATGTTTGATCTCCACTCAGTTTTTGCATAATGCTGTCTTCTCTTTTTCTTTTTTCCTGCGATAAAAAAGACATCTCACGCAGAGCCTGTTTAATGAGCATTTCTTTTCCACTCCTCAGATTATGCAATGGGGAAAGACTGTATCATGCACGGGTACATGTTGAAGCTGGGAAACCCGTTCCTGACCCAGTGGCAGCGTCGTTATTTTTACCTCTTTCCAAATAGACTTGAATGGAGAGGAGAGGCGGAGTCCCGTGTAAGTGTCTGGCAGCATTTCCAAGCGCCGATCCATGGTGTTGAAGGTCACGTGCAAATTCCAGCATTGGGGCTGTGTTTCACTAAGTCCCCCCTCCCCCGCTCCATTCTGCAATTCAGTTTTCACTCGTAGTCACAGTAGTCTCTCCAAACATTAGTATTCACACTTCCATGTTGAGGAAGGATTGTGTAGGATCTGAAGGTACTGTGTGAAGTTCAGTGAGGTCCAAAGCAGATGTGGGTGAAGACTTGTGGATGCCCACCAAAAATCCAGTCTGGGCAAGAACAGACACTGGTTGCTTTTATCTCCACCTTGTTGGGAGTGGACATGGAGTTCTTGCGCTGACAGGAAGTTATGACTGCAGTTGGTCCCTCAGATACTGTCTACTAATAAGATTCATTGAAAATTCTGCTCCCCACCATCCCTTTGAGCAATGGCCAGCAGCTTGATGAGTCTGGAGGGGCCCAAGGCTTATCACTGTGAAGGATCCACCTAGGTAGGACTCTGCTCCCAGGGTGGGCACAGTTCCTGTTCTCATCGAGCACAGCAGTCCCAAATCTCAGGCACATAGGGCGTGCTCTCTGGACCAAACTGCTCAGAAGATGCACCATGGTGACATGTGTGGACAGTTGTCAATAGAAATCTTCTATCCTCCACTTCAGAATGTTGGCAGATTCCTACTGGTGGGGTTTCTATCTAGTTGTGGCTGATTCCTACTGAACTTTGAAGGAAGAGTTCACTATTCATAGTGCTGCAAAAGCCACTTCTAAAAATTAATACAGCCAGGTTCTGAGTTACAATTACTAGGATTCTTTCAAGGTCCCGAATTAGAACTCGGGTAGACTAGAACCACCGTGGACTAGAATAGAATTTATGTCCTGTGCAGTATTTTTAGATGACAAGTGAGCCTTGGCACATTGTGGAGTTATTATTCTGCCCAATGGTAAGTCGCTATCGTGTACACTGAAAAAAAAAATTGTTTCTCACTCAGGATATTTTGAAACTGAAAATAAAAAAAAAAAAGAATCTTCCTCTGTTTACCATCAGACGCCATAGATTGTCCTGTTTTCCGAATAATCAACCTTTAGCATTCTCTTTGTAAAGCTACATGGCATGTCTGGGTAGATTCGTAAGTATACATAAGGAAAACGAAAACTGGAGTGTTTATGCTGGTGTTGTTTTCTATTTAGGATTCCTGGAGTATTTACCCCAAAAAACATAAAATGGTAAGGTTCTCACGCCACTATAGCATTCACCTCTAGCCATAATGCTATAGATCTAGCTTACCGGTCTTTGAGGATGTCGCCTGTACTCATGGCATCATTTCAGTGATCATCAAACTCTCGTTGAGTTGCCAGCTAACGTGACCAAGTGCACTGGCTGAGTTGCTGTGTTCGAACTCAGCGGCCCGCCTTTGCTCATGTCAGCCATCCGTGGTGCTTCTGTTCCCTCCCGACGGTGTCACGAGAGAGGACATGCCCGCGAGAGTGGAAGCAGAGCTACGGGTTCGTCCTCATTCCTGACCCAGGGCTGTGCCCAGCGGCCAGCTCTGTCCCTGGCCTGCCTTCCAGGGCCTTTCTTTCTTTGCAGTTTGAGATTCTGTCATCTGAACTTTCAGACGCGTTCCTCAGTGGCCATTTCCTGGCACTTCTTGAATGTCCTCAAAGAAAGAAAAATGCCAATTACTATATTATTATTATTATTATTATTATTATTTTAGAGCTTTGACTTAGTGGGTAGTGTTTGGTGTGATTGATTAGCCGAAGAAATCAGGTAAACTGTTCCTGGGAAGTAATCTGTAATTCTCTTTTTTATGACTAGCAAAACTTACTGACAATGGAGCAGATTCTGTCTGTGGAAGAAACTCAGATTAAAGACAAAAAGTGCATTTTGTTGAGGATCAAAGGAGGGAAACAATTCGTCTTGCAGTGTGAGGTAAGTTGCTCTTCCTCCCCACCCAGGAGGAGAATTGGGAGCTAAATGATAAAGATGGCTGCTCAGCCTTAATGAAACATTGCCTTACTCCTTGCTTTGCCAGATTGAAAACTGAGTGAGGGAAATTTTTCAGCAGACTCACTGTTATGCTCAGAGAAGCAGGACCAGAAAGACAGCACAGAGGTTAAGGTGTTGGCCGTGGATGGGTCTGGCCGGAGCCCAGGTTCGACTCTTGGCACCACTTTTGGTCCCCTGAGCACTTCTGGATATTGCCCCCCCCCACCACTCCCCCAAATACTTATCCAGAGAGGTAGTACGGGGAGTGAGGTGCTGGCACTATATGCAGCTGACCCAGTTTTTTCTTTTTTTTTATTAATTTTTATTAGTGAAACACCATGAGGTACAGTTGTAGACTTACAAATTTTTGTGCTTGGGTTTCGATTATACAATGATGAAATACCCATCCCTCCACCAGTGCCCATTGCCCACCACCATGGATCCCAGTATCCCTCCCACCCCCATCCCACCCTGCCTCTGTGGCAGGACATTCCCTTTTGTTCTCTCTCTCTCCTTTTGGGTCCTGTGGTTTGCAAGAGAGGCATTGAGTGGCAATCATGTTCGGTCTATAGTCTGCTTTCAGCATGCTTCTCCCATCCTGGGAGGATCCTCCCAACACGCTCTATTTGGTGCTCCCTTCTCTATCTGAGCTGCCCTTTCCCCTAGAATGCCTGGCTGGCCTCCAAGTCATGGAGCAAAATTCCTGGTACTGATCTCGGCTATTCTTGGGTTTTAATCTCCTATTTTGTTACTTTATGCCCCCCCAGATGAATGCAATCTTTCTATGTCGGTCCCTCTCTTTCTGACTCATTTTGCTTAGCGTGATACTTTCCATGTAGTACCACTTGTATGTAAACTTCATGACTTCCTCTTTTCTAACAGCTACATAGGACTCCATTGTGTAGATGTACCAAAGTTTCTTTAACCAGTCATCTGTTCTTGGGCATTCAGGTTTCTTCCAGTTTCTGGCTATTGTAAAGAGTGCTGCATTGAACAAACAAGTGCAGATGTCACTTCGACTATACATTTTTGCCTCTCTGGGATATAGTCCCAGGAGTGGTATTGCTGTGACCCAGGTTTAATTCCTGACGCCCCATATGGTCCCCAGAGCACTGCCAGGAGTGATGCTTGAGCACAGAGCCTGGAGTAAACCTTGAGCAGTGCTGGGTATGGCCAAAAAAAAAACAAAATAAACACACATTAGAAAGTAGCAGGAGGAAGTCTGTGAAACAACCTGTTACATGGTCTATAACTGGATTTGTGGCATCGTTTTCCAGGTTTTCTTTCTGCGTGTTTGAGAGTCAAGATTTGTGTGTTCAAATAAACATAGTGACTTCTCTCAGAGGGAACGCGTTTCTCTCTTTAGAGGTGTGCTGTAGCCCAGATTTAATTCCTGAACTCTGTGTGTGTGTTTTGTGTGTGTGTGCATCTAGAGAGAGAGTAGCCTGTAGGACACACAAAAATCATGTTCACTGGCATTGTTACCCTGTTGTGTATATCAAGGTCCTTTTCAAAAAACTTGGCAGATGGGGCCAGAGCGATAGAATAACAGGTACGGGGCATTTGCCTTGCACATGGCTGACCGGAGTTCCATCTCTGGCATCCCATATGGTCCGCCAAGTCTTGCCAGAGTGATCTCTGAGCGCAGAGCCAGGAGGAAGCCCTGAGCATGGCCACACATGGCCCCCCAAGACAGACGCCTTGGCAGAACTCCCCATTCCTGTCAAAGCCTTGAGTTATGATAAAAATCAGACACCAGAGCCCGTTTCTAAACAAACTCAAGGCCGCGCTTCTCCGGGTGGGACTGCGTGAGGGTCTGGAGAGCTCCGTGCTGGTGCCACGTGTGTTCCTGGAGAGTGGGTCATCTCCACTGACACCAGCCATGACTGTGGGACCCCCCGGGTCTGCGTGACGCTATCACAGCTGCATGCCTTTGTCTTTTCCCATTCAGAGCGACCCTGAGTTTGTGCAGTGGAAGAAGGAGCTGACGGAAACGTATACCGAGGCCCAGCGGCTGTTGCGGCGTGCCCCGAAGTTCCTCAACAAGCCCCGGCCCAGCACCATGGAGCTGGCCAAGCCCCCTCTCTGTCACAGGAGTAGCAACGGCCTTTGACGGCAGGACAGGGAGGGCCCTGGGTGAGACAGGGCCTCTGCTCGGAAAGGCCACGCCGGGGGCTGCGGCCCTGTCAGGGATCCCAGTGCAAGTGGGACGCACTTACCGCAGGGGATCTCGGCAGCCAGGGCGACCCGGGGCCCTAAGATGCTGCTCCCGGGAGCCGCCGTGACTGTCCTCAGGCAGGAGGTCGGGGCCCCCCACCCCCGTCATCCCTCCTGGCCACCTCCTGCCGCTGCCCTCGTGTCTGCCGCACTCAACTACTGAAGAGACAAGAGTTCTTGGTCTTTGCTACACACGCACTTGGGTATATCCGAACCGGAAACGGTCCGTCCTTATCACTTCAGTTTTCACATCTGGTGTCAGATCTCTCGTCGGCTCCCTGGGATGGAATCCACCATCTCTGGATTCACAGGTGGCCCGTTCCTGCCAGATCCTATCCACCCTAAAGAGCCGTGGCTGGGTGTCCGGTCGGCTGGGTTCTACCATGGGCAGTGAACCCACGTCCTTGGGTCCTGGGCCGGGTGGAGGGGGGTGAGGGTGGGAGAAGGAGGATGTTCTCAGCAGAGGCTGCCCACTGCCCACGGGTGCCCAGCACACTAGGATGGCTCAGAGGAGCTGTGCCAGCATCAGGGAGGAAAGTCTCAATTCCAGGGTCCCTGGCACCCCTTAGAAACCGGCCAGGGCAACAAGCAACCTGGGAGGGTTCGCCCGAGCAACCCTTCCCGGCGTCTGGGAGGGCGTGAATGCTGCCAGGTCTGTCTGGGACTTTGACAGTGAGGAGCTGAGTGGCACGGCTCTTCTAGATCCTTCCACCCGTTCTCAGGAAATATCAGTGATGGAGGCGCGTGGGAAGAGAAGGACTGCCCTGTTCTCTACGTGTTAAGTTAATTTAAAGTGAATATCACTGAGGAAAAATTGAGTGTGTGAACACGGGTGACCTGAGAGGATCTTCTCGACTCCGGGGATGTCTTTCGGCGTCCGTGCTGAGGGCACACGGCCTCTGGCGGGGTCAACAGGAGACCCTGCGGCAGCCTTTCACCTCGGTTCATTTGTCCTTGTTGTGTTTTGTGCCATTTTCATGCTCCGCCCCCCCCCCCCCCAATAAATGCTGAGTTGTAAGAACCACTGTGCTTCCCAGCCCAGCCAAATCCTCCAAGTCATCAGACTGGGGGGAGGGGTGAGTAGTTTTGCGCATCCAAGCAATTGTCCTATTCTTGGTGCCATGTGAGTGTCGGTTTCTAAGTCGGCTGCCAATAGTAGCATTCCCTTGGCATCCTCATGATCCGTCCCCCGGCCTTGAGGCTTTCTGCAGGCTTCAAAACTTTGCATTCCTGCGCAGTGTTCTTGGGGAAAGAAAGTGCTGGAAATGGAAATCGTGTTTGGGGACTTGCGGAGAGGGTTGCGGAAAAGATTTCTCAGGAGTTACTTTGGGACAGAGAAGTGGACGGTCACTGCCCGCCTCCGCTTCTCATTGTCCTTGGAGGACGGAAATTTTCATTCATGTTCTAGATCTGCTGTTTCTACAGGGACGGCGGGGAGAGTTTGGGGGTCCTCGTCCCACATAATCTTCAGACTTAATAAGGAAGCACAGTGCCCCAAGTTTTTTTTTTTTTTAAACAGAAACAGAAAAGTAGCAGCTTTTTGTCATGTCTGCCTCAGTTGCCCCTGCTGTCAACCTCACTCCGACCCCAGCCACCAGGTGCTGGACACTGAAAGTTCTAACCATCGCTTCCCAGACCAGGGGACTGGTTTCTTTAGGGTCTGAGCTGCAGGGCATTAACTCTGCCAGCTCACCTCTCTCTGAAAAATACCCTCTTGGCTCCGAAGCAGACATCAGGTCAGTCTCTTCGAGCGAAGAATGTGCATCGGAAACTCTCCCTTTGGCTTCAGACTCTGCCCCCGAGACCTGCCCCTGGGCCTCATCTTATTTAGGGTGACATGGCCTCAAGTGCCTCTGGGAGGGGGTGGTCACTGGCCACGTGGGCGTCTGGTTTGGCTACCCTGGGCCTGGGCCAGCAGCCTGGCCATGTGGTAAGCGTGTGTTTCTGCTTCCACATGAAGACCCCCTTCCCCGCCCCCCAAGAAGCCTGAGGGCTCTGGAGTGTCCGTAGATGCCTGGACGTCCCCCAAGTCCTGATATTGTCTCTTCCCAGGTCTGGGCCTTTATAACGGACCAAACGTAGCACAAATCTGCGTCTGACCTTAGAATTCTGCGGTGGGGGATCTTTTCAAGTGCTCCACGATAAAGTGACTATTTTTATAAAATGTTATCACAGATCTCCATGTCAGCCCCCCGTGGAACCAATAAAGCGAGGCCTACCAACAGCAGGTGACATTAGGTTCCTGGACCCCCACGTGACGGGGGTTAAGGCCTGGCTCCTGCAAAACCCTGGGCTTGTTACCAGTTTCTGCCTGAACCCTGGTCCTCTCTTCGCTCGGGGCCCGGGTTCCTTCCTGTCGCCGGACACCTGGTTTTGTCCTTCCACTCCTGATGAAGTTGGATGGCCCGCCAGGACTTTCTGAGACTCTGCGTCTCTGTCTCTGTCTCGGTCAGCTGGCTGAGGCCGCAGGGCCCAGAGCTGTAGAGAAAGGGGTTTATGGTGCAGATGAGCTTGGAGAGCGAGTGTCCATCCTGTCCCCCCTAGCACGGCAGCCCGTCTTCCCGCCCCGCAACCCCCTGATCCAGAACAGGGCAGTTCTGAAACACGCCCCACGGCCCTCTCAGAAGCAGCTGTTTCCTGCTGTGCTCCTGCTGGCTGCCCAGAAGGATGCTGAGATTTTACTAGATCCAAAAGAACATGGTGTGTCTCTCTCTTTTTTTTTCCTGTTTCTTCTTCTTTTTTTTTTTTTGGCCCCCTGAACTCATTCATAATCTGCAGGTGGGCCGCTTCAGTTCAGCATTTTCTTTTGCTTTTTCTTAGGTTCCAGAAGTTTCCGCATAGCAAGAAGGAAACAGGTGCCAGGACTTCCCCTGATGGGAATGCCTGTGACCATCAGGCTTGTTAGGCCTGAGGCCGTAGGCCATTCCCTCCGGATTTGCTCCTGCCCTTGTCCCTATCTATTCTCTTTGTCTTTCTCTCTGCACAGCGACAGGTGGTGGCTGGGAGTTGGGAGGGATGTCCCAGGGAGGAGACTAGGAGGAGGAACAGGGCAAAGGAAGACAGGAATAAGTTTGCCGGTACAAAAGCATCCCTTGGCCGGAGCGACGGCAGGTGGGGCGCTTGCCTTGCCCATGCCTGACCTGAGTTTGATCCCTGGCACCCTGTATGGTCTCTCAAGGCCTGCCAGGAGTGATCCCTGAGCACCGCAGGGGGTGACTCTCAAACAAACAAAAGCAGTACCCCGAGGGCAAAGAGAATGGCGGGGGGGGGGGGGGGGGGGGGGGGTAATGCACTGGCCTTGCATGCAGGTGTCCCCTGAGTTCTGCTAGGAGGGAACCCTGAGCACAGAGCCAGGAGTAAGTCCAGAACACTGCCGAGTGTGGCCCCCCAAACAAAACGCCTTTTCTTGGGGCATGTGTACCAGGGAAGTGACTGAATGAACTGTGGGAGGGATTTCCTCCGGACCCCAGGGCCGAGTGCTCTTTATTAAGCCTCATGGCTGTTTTTTTTGAGGCTCTTGCTTTCCGACCCCCTGCTGGAGGACGCAAGGCCCCAGCACGGCCACCCCTGTGGCATGCACAGCTCCTTGGAGGAACAGCTGCGGGACCTGGCTGACCAGCAGCACATGCCCTGCTGCTCAGTTGCAGACTGGGTAGGAGTCCTTGGGAGCTGCCGCAAGCCCTCCTATCAGCAGCCCAGGCTTTCAGGAAGAGCCACGCCCATTTCCCATTTTTGTTTCATAGTATTTTAAACCACCCGAATGTGCTCAGAGGCTAATTCCCGCTCTGCTCAGGGCACTTGGTGGTGCCAGGATTTGAACCCAGGCCTCCCACCTGCATAAAGCACACACTCAGCCCATGGAACTCCCCTTCTGGCCTTCTTCACTTAAAAAAAAACTTTTTTTTTCTTTCCTAAAGCTCCATAATGATTTTCCCTCCCACGTAAGGGGTGACTGGAGAAACTTAAATGACTCAGAAAGATTCACACTGATCATTTTTTAAAATCCAGATCACATTTTTAAAGTTGCTTTTTTCTTTTTCCTTTTCTTTTCTTTTTATTTTTTGCTGTAGAATCAATGAAAGTTGATCTATAGAATAGGACTCCTTGATTTCCCCAAGTAATAGACTGTGGACTGCTTTTGTCCTCAGGAAAAAAAAAAACAGGAGCACTATTTATCTTTAGCTAGGTAACAAGACTACCCACTCTCGCAGCTCCCAAAGGCCCATGGGTAGGGTGCTAAGCGGACAGTGGTCTTCGATGTCAATCAAGGCAGCACTCCGAATTTTAAATTGCCTTTCACTTTCAAAGTAGCTGAAATGCATCGACTATTAATCCATGTTCTGTATTGTTTTACTCTGGAGACCACAGAACATGGGTTCACAGATGCATCTCATCAAGATCCAGCAAAGATACTGCATTTTAGAGTCAAACAAATCGGATTCTTAGCATTAACTCTCTTGGACCTAATCTCGTAAGTCATCTTTGAAAATTGGTAACTGTGCTTCCACTTTTTTATGTCGTCCTAACAGAAAATGTCTTTCACAGAAGAGTAGGGAAACGGGAAAAATATTTCTAAGCTTGCTCTTGTTCAAAATACAAAGGAGTTGAAATTTAATTTCTTGGTTAATTGCATTTCGTGGTGTATATATTATATGTGGTTTATAAGGAAATCACTGGCCATGTAAGTTCTGCTGTTAAATTGTATTTTTCTATGTCATAACTATAGTAGATCTGGCTTTTTTCTGGGTAGCACGAAGATTGTTAAACCACACACACACACACACACACTCACACATAGACACGCGCACACACACACGACGCATATATATGTATAAAAAAACAAGAGTTCTATTTTGGCACAAAGGCATTTTATATTATTTATTGAATCCTTGAGTCTGTTTTCATCAAAGACATTCCCTATCAGTTCTGCTTCCTTTGATTTGTATCATCCGTTATTGAAAGAAATGGCGCCTTTGGCATCGTTCA